CGATATGAACTATATGTCAGAATAATCAATGTATGAGAGATAATAACATACGTGATAACAGATAACGATTTTTTTTTCTCGTTATACAATAAATATTATGGATATATAGATATGGTCAAACAGTTAGTCATTCGTTTCTTGTTCTGTTTTTGTTCTGATAATGACCATCATGATGTGTGCTAAGTAAAATCAAAAGAATTACGATGACGACGCCTATCAGTAACAGCAGTCACTGTTTGTTTAGACAAAGATCAAAGTTAGAATTCCATCTATAAATGTAATTTACACACATAGAATTTATGATTAACTAAATATATAGATGACAGAATAGAAAAAAACTTTCCACCATATAATAGAATGATAATAACAATACGTGCATTTGCCAAAATAACAAACTTCTGGTTCGGATACAAAAAAAATTTCAGTTCAGAATAATATTAATCACCATATTGCGTTTTTTTCAGATATATTTGACATTCCGTAGAATTATAGATTTACTACAACTATTTATCTTCGACTATAAGGTAATTACATAGATATGTTTTCCGGTTTTAAAACACTCTATATATGTTCATGATTAATGACCTTTTTTGTTTTTTTCAAAAGGTATTTGATATATAAATCTAGTTCAAAAACAGGCACTCGTTATTAGTGGTTGATATCTTATAAAACATGTTCGATACAATTCGACGAAAATTTGGTTTAAATAACCAAAGAAGACAAAAGTATGACACTCATTTTAATCAGGTGTATACAACTTATCAAAAGAATTGTCTTTTTGCGGACAGATTAGATATTATAAACGTCCAAATAGATTATCTTCTGTAATCAGTCGAAATGATCGTTGTTCATCTATACGTATACAAAAAAATGTTTTAACTATAATATAATATTTTTAGATCTGGTGGTACCGTGAGTATAACGAGCGATGAAACGGACTCACTAAGTGATGACTTTAAAAGCATACAAAACTCAATCACATCAATACATAAGACGTCTTCGATTATCTTAAGAAGGTATGTGTAAATATTGTGTGTGTATACAGTACCAGCACTTTTACTTTTATTTATTTTAGTTTTGTACCACAGTCACGATCCATAACCACAATAAACTCGTGTATCGATGAAAATAGTCCGTGGTTTTACAATAATATAACTAGGTTTGAAAAATCCATGCGCAATAATATAAAACAAGAACAGTCATTAGATTTCTTTGTTTCTTTCTAGAGAAAGCGTTGAAGCAGCTTTAACAGTTCGTTCAATTGGCAGTTTTATTCTTCGAAATAGTTCTTCATCTCCAAATGCATTCGTATTGTCTGTTCGAGTACCAAAATATATCAAAAAATCTTTAGTTGTTCATTATCTGATTGATCATGACAAAGATGGATACAAACTACGGGGAACAAAAAAGTTATTCACAACATTAACATCATTAATTGTACATCATTCCATTGTAACAGAAAATCTTCCAGTAGTACTCAATTTACGGCAATATTATCCACAATCTAATCAGTCAAAAGAATATTCCGATTATCTTCTATGATACAATAATAAGATCGTACAAAAATATTATATAGAATTGCAATTAAAAGAACATTTAATTATTATTCTCTCTTCAACTCCTGTTTAATGAAGTTTGAAATGTATTGTAAATGGGCATGCAACGGTAACAGTTATCGGGAGAACGATAACCAGTAAAATATGGTAAAACGGTAGCGGTAAACCGGTAAAGTACAGTTACCGTTGCATGCCTAGTTGTAAATAACATACAAGACGTTTCGTTTTGAAAAAATTTGATAAAATTGCTGAAAAAAGTAATAAGATCAGATATACCAAGAAATTTCATTCTGTACTTCTTGTTAAGACTAGGGATGCTAGCCGATCTAAATATGAACGGTTTAGTAAAAGAAAAATTTGATCGGCGGGAGCCCCAGTCCTCAAAGGCGCTTCTAACATCTCAATCTCAAATGTTTTGAATGACTTTCACAAATTTTAATAAAAACAAGTTGGAATTTCAAGATTTTGTTACACTTTGTATGAATATGCTTAAAATGATCACCTGAATAATACTAAACTGTTTTAGAGAAAATAAAATTAATCAAATAATCAAAACTTAAAAACGTGAATAACAAGTGTATAGAATTCGTGAAAACAGTTAACAACAAATAACTTTGCTCCTGTAAATAATATTAGTTGCTCATGTCCTAGACAGATTTGAAACTCGGTAATTTTTCTTTCAAAATATCCAACATTTGTGATACTTCTGGATGATCACCATAATCTTTCTGTGGATGTGACAGCCATACTTCGCCAGTTTTACGACCAACAATATAAGTGCCACCTAATTGAAAACCGTCACCTTTCAAGTTGCCCCCTACACCCATTTTAGTGGTTTCTGCATTCCAATCTCGTGTCGATTTTGTAAACAGAGTAGTTATACCCCGAAACCATCCCAAATCTGTGAATCCTAATTGTTTATAAGCTTTTTTGCCCTCATCAACATACAAATCTCCTTTAAAATATCCCTCTTTCATAAATTCTTCGAGACCAAACTTTTCTAAACCAATACCAACGAACGCAACATTATTTGCTTTCAATGTCGGCATCAATTCGTTACTTAATTTTAATGCATATGATCGACACAATTGACAGCCAAACCTTCGAAAAAATATAATAACGGCCGGTTGGTTTTCATAAATGGTATTAATAGGCACTTGAGTATTATCAACAGCACGCGTGATCAAAGTGTCGCCGACAACATTATTCAAATGAGAGGGAGATGAAGTGTGCGAATTACTCATGTTAAGTTTTCTACAAAAAAATATAAAAAAGGAAATGATAGCTAACATCAAGTTTGTAAGACAATCATTAAAGATTTATTACAAGGTTTCCTTGAATTGTATCTTTTGTCGCCATCATATTCGTCTATAGCTGAATTTTTTTAATTGACCTATAGTTGCTCTCATTTGCTAGATATCTACATCCAATTTCGTAAATTTAAAAAATCAAAAACTAATCTCTCGTGCTAAGAGCCACCGATACTGTTTTTCAAGCATGCAATCAAACAACCCTAACCATATTGTGCTTGAATAATGATTCTAACAGACATATTTTATTACGAGAGAATCTATTATACAAACAAATAGAAACAAAAGTAGAATTCATATTATATAAATAAGAAAAAAATTAGTGAGTTCATCAAAAATAAACAAACAAAAATAGGAGATAAATAAAAATATATCTGACGTAGATAATCATATCAAAGATAAGATCTAATTTTTCAACCAAAATTACAATTCTACTCATCGTCTAGAAGAATGTTGTTATTCAGTGCGTTCTCTTCTTGTTGTTGAAATTGTCGACGTGGTCGCCTTAAACGTTCAGTTGGTTCAGTGGGACTTCGAACACCACCATAACCGCGTTCTAAACATGTTTGTGTATTTGGTACACCTAGTGACCAAAAATGTTGAGGCGTTGTTATAATCGGTCTTTGTCGATGTTTACAACGATAATTTTTTTTCAATTGATCTGGTAAACAAATCCAGTAATCTCGACACGCTCTACAAATATACAATAATTCATCATCATTGTTGTCATTAAGATCGGGACTTGTTGTTGTTTGATTTTGGCCATAATATGGTGCCATTGTAGTATCATTTCCATTGAGTGATCGTAATGGCATTTTGTTGACAATTGTTTCATCATCAAAATCAAATTGAACAAATGGCGCTTGGTTTCGATTTTCTTTATAGCCGTCTTCTTTGTCGGTATAATGATCATCTTCCAATGATAGGGGTATCAATGATTTATCGAACGTAAAGTAAGAATTTTCCGTTACGTGTTGATTCAAAACCAGCATATTCTATCGAACAAAAGATAATAAAAAAATGACTTTATTTGTACGTACTAAGTGTTTAAACGAATTCTCAGGAATTATATCGCAAGATTACGAACACTGTTTGACATTTTATTTGTTGGACTATAATAGTTATTGGTTATTTAACTATTTTTAATAAACGTAATATATCTACGGATTAAAAATTCGTTTACAATCATTTACCTGATTTTCATCGGTATCCATTTGTTCACTGGCGAGTTGTTGCTCTTTTCGTGGTGACAGCAGTCGCTTTTGCTTTTGTTCTGTTGCGGATATTATGACTAAAGACTCATTTGCATCCGATGATTTTTTACCCGTTAAAATAAATTTCGATTGTCCTGATTGTTTTCTATAATTAACCGTCGGTAGAATAAGTTTTCTTGTTACTGGCAAAGGTAACATGAATTGTAACTGTTGTACAGGCAGTGTAGATTTGTCAATTTTGTCAAATACTTGTGTCATTGTTGTTTGTTTTAAATGAGATGAGATTGACGTTTTACTGTTCGATTTGTTTTTCTTTGATGATATTTTTTTACGTTTTGGTATAGGCGATAATGATGTTGATTGTTTATTTGAAACATCCTTTGACATTTTCCAGTCATCGTTTCGCTGTTTTTTTGGTAATTTCACATTCATAAATGGATTCATTGTGGTCGTCGATGTACACCGACGAAGAAGATCAGGTGATGCTTCAATAATTGTTGATTTTTCAATGATATTGCTATCGTCATGCTTATTTTCAACAATATATGGTGCTGGATGAATTGAACCAAGCACGGGGGATTTTGCACTGTTTATCAATGTTTTCGAATTCAAACTTTGAATCAATGTTTTTGTTCTATCTTCGTCATCTGTACTATCGTCATCATTCGATTCTGATTGCTTATTGATTAATACTAAATTTTCATGAATTTGTGGTTGTACATCAACCGTTACTGGTTGATGATGTTTCGATAGATCAAGTGGAAAATCAACCATTGGATCTTCTTCTATTTGTGAATCATAATTTTGATCAATATTACTTTTTGAAGGCGAAATATAATTTGGTGAGGATAATGTACGCTCTTGTGACTCGTAAAAATAACGAAGTTCATCCACCATATCTTGTACTTCAGTGACATAAGCATTGTATAGCTGAACAAATAGATTAAGAATATGTTGTTTTTGTTTCAGTTTATAATCTTTCATCACTGCCAGTGAGATTTGTTCTAATTCGTACAGACTCATTTTTCAATCGAAAATCTAAAAATACAAATCCTAATACAAAAATGGACAATCATTTGAAATTTCTAATTACTTCAGACAACTATTTTAGATCAAACGCGAGAAATAACAAAAACTGGTCGCTGGTATAATGCAGACGCTCAGAGTTCCCTCTTCTAAACTTCAAGAGTCAATTGTTATTGCAAAGTTATGTGTTTTCTAACGATAATCATATATTTTGTTTTTTCGAAAAATAAAAACACTTAAAAAAATCACGGATACACTCCGAGAATGAAATGAAAATTAATGCAGAATATATCGGATCAAGAAAAGCTCATGAGATAGTAACTCTCTCATGAAATCACTAATCTTTATCAAAACCCCAATAAATAAATCTAAGAAAAGAATTTTCAAAATTTTCTGCCTAGATGAAATTAGACATGTGACAATCTTTATTTATTTCTAATATTTAATACCCAAGTATCTTTTTATTATAGCAAAAATATAAATCAAATGAAAAGAGCTGAATAAAAAAATAAAAATGTGCTCGTTGTTTTTTCCCTATCCAAATAGATAAACTAGACAACTAAACAAACATAGCTAAACATTTCCACGACGACGTGCATAACTGCCAATGCACGCACATAAACCAAACAGGCCGATTAATAGACCAAGAACAAGTGCGATAGCGTCCATCGCTCCAAATCCACTACAACCAGAAAAAAACATTTTTTGTATTGTTCAGAAATTATTTGTAAAAGACACTTACTCAACTGTCTGGGCAAAAAACATCAAAATAAAGAAGAATGGTCCAACGATGTTAATATCCATTTTATGAGTAATAATAAGTAAAGTTTAGTCAAACTAACGACAACTCGGGGAAAAGAAATAATTTTGTAGCGAGCAAATGACAAGCCAAATTTTTGTTATCTATCGTAAAGTATATAAAAAAAATATGTGCAATGTGTTATATTGTTTACTTATAAAATACCACACAAGGTTGACTCAAATAACGTGAATTTAACGAACGTTTTACTCCTAGTGTCGTATCAAACCATGAAGTTTTTATTTGCATTTTTTCATTAATCATATGAACAACAGAACAGAAAACAAAGAGAAAGATCCATTGGTTTAGAAAATATTGAGTTGAATCACTCGATAAATCCACATGCTTTGTTTTTTTCGTCGAGATGAGCTGGTCATGAAAATTAGTTATAATTTACATCTATAAATTTTGAAGAAATAGTCAGCACAATGTGCAAATCATAAACCTACCTGAAAGAGTTTGCTCTGACTTATGGGCCTGCTGTGAGATTCGCCGAGACCTCCTCAAAAACCTCACGTGCCATAAGTCAGAGTAAACTCTTTCAGGTTGGTTTATGATTCACGAATCGGGCTAACTATTTCTTCAAAATTTATCAAAAATGTAGAAACCACACAAGTGGAGCTTTCAATCGATGCTAGATTCAATGCTAGATTCCGGTTTTATGCGTCCAAGATGCTTAATATCCACAGATGTCTCAGTTTATGCACTCGAGATGCAACATTTAAGCATCCGTCATATCTTATCGGGTCACCGTGAATGCATAAAATCGGGATTCGCCCGCACTTTTAAGACAAATAGGTGGCAAAAGTATCAATAAGAAATATAGAGTTAGAGACAATGTATTTAGAAGAACGATTTCATTGTAACTTTTATTGAAGAACAGCAATATTTCAAATTTTTCCTTTGACAGACGTTTGACCAGTTTTTAACGCAAAATATATAACCATTAAAACTGGAGAAAAATTCTTGCAGCTTCACTCCACTGTTTTTCTTTCTTTATCATGTCTTAAAAAAATAGTCATAGTTATTTGCATTGCACTATACGACATCTATATTCAAAATTGTAACCCATAGAGGTCATATTGTAGTATGTAATTGGATAAAAAGTGCTATTACCAAGACCTGATCAGTGATGCAAGAATCTTGTGTTGGACTATCCAGTGGATAGTGTTTCGAATGTTGCGTCTCCGTGTACATGTACATTTTGTTTTTTTCTAAAAAAACGTGAAGCCAGCGCGTGCTAGTAGAATAGGATCGGCAGGAACTTTGTTATTGTCCATTTTTTACGTGAAACTAACACACGCAGATATATGATCAAAATAAAAAGCACAAAATATGCTAAGAAAAATACCACAATGGTTTTTTAACAAGAAAAGCATATAGTCTTTTTATTAATCTGATTGTTCACACATATTGAACCTAATGGCTTTTCGGGGTATATAATAAGTGTTACGCAACCTTCTGAAACAACATAATAACAAATAAGTCAACTTGAAGTGGATTATGCAATAAAATTGTTTATTTATGCGCGTTCGCACATTTCATGCGGAGTCATTTCATAAGTTAACGTCTTGTTTAACTATTTGTTGACAGTTTGCATTAAAATGGAAAACAAATGCTATCAAACAAGTAAATCATCATTTCCACACTGTTAGCCTTACCTTCTAATCTAATCTTGTAATAATACGTTAAAACTGCAAAATGTACACTAAGGATTTTATTTTTTAAAGTGTAAACCAGTTCACGTTTAGCACTGTCATGAGATTCTACACCTCGTTACGCTTTATCGTTAGAAACTAGCGAAAGGTCACAGTAAAAGCATAACATCATCGCATTTGAGCGTAAATTTCAATATTACGATACTACAATGGTTTTGCGGTAATCATTTTTTACAGTATTGCATTCCACTATCTGATGAAATTTTGTTAATAATTGTAAAAGTGCTCATATTTTTACTGTTTTTAGATGGATGAGCTTGAAAAACTTGAATATTTATCTCTTGTATCTAAAATATGTACAGAATTAGACAATCATTTGGGCGTAAATGATATGGTTTTAGGTAAGCTGGTTTAATTCATATTTCACGTTAAGAATTCATCAATTCTAAAAACAAACTTTTACTACAGTTAAAGTTAATGTAAAAGTTTGGCAAGTTTGAATTTGATAAATCTACAGGGCTTGATGCATTCCTATTTTATGTTATTACAATCCATTGTTTTATTGTTATTTAGCTGAATTTATTATTTATCTTGCACAAACAGCAAGCTCATACGATACTTTCAAGAATGAACTTAGTGCAAATCAAGCAGAATTTCCAGTAAGCACCTCCACTCTATTTTCTCAGTTGTATAACACATGATAAATACTCACAATTTTGTTTGTTTAGGATTCTTTTAGTGGAAATTTATATCGTATTGTTCAAAAAATGTTACCATCTAAACCAGCAAACAAAAAATCTTCGACAACACACGAACAACATCAGGTTAATGATACATCATTACGCAAAGCTTTATGTCCAGCTTTGGCTTTACCAAATGAACCATCAGTCAGGGTAAGTTTAGTATCTGTAGAAGAATAAGATCTTTATATACAAATCTTTCAGTTCGATCGATAATTTTTAGAATGAATTGTGTTAATTCTTTTTATTTTATTATCTTTTGTAGACAATGCTTGATGAAGAATTAAAAGCGAAAGCAGTACCGAGTAAAGAAGATGAAAAAGTTGTTGATGATACAATGAATGAACTTGAAAATCTTATGGTGAAAGCAAAAAACCAGAATACAAAATCAGAAAAGGAGGACAATCGTTCGGACAGAAAGAAAAACCGTTATTCTCCGCCATCATCTAAATCACGTCATCGACACCATCATGATAAGGAAGATGACGGTAAAAAACGAAGGTGCGTTATGTCAGATTTGCATGTGGATTATTTATTTTCTCTATTTTTCTCCTGTGTTTAGTCATGACAAAAGTCGTAAACGTCATCGTCGTTCTTCGGTTAGTGATAGCAGTAGTCGAAGTGGCTCGGATAGATCTGTTTCTCCGGCTCATCAATCATCAAAAAAAAAGAAATATATTGATGAAGATCATAAGCGAAAAAATAATAATGATTCACCTCGACAATCAAAACAAAAGCAAATGTCGGATGAGCCTGAAGTTGGCACTGTAAGCTTTTTATTTGCTGCTAAAATTTGTATCTATCACATATTGAATTGTGTTTAGATTTACGACGGTATTGTTATTAGTATAATGCAATGGGGTTGCTTTGTTCGATTAGAAAAGTTTCGAAATCGTACAGAAGGTCTTGTTCATATATCTAATGTAAGTAGTAGAATTGCACACAAATATTAGCTATATTTATGCTTTTCATCCATGCTTTAGATCCATAAAGAGCGAATAAATAACGTATCAGATGTTGTAACAAGACATCAAAAGGTTAAAGTAAAAGTTCTTGCATATACCAAAACAAAAATGAGTTTATCAATGAAAGTAAGTCGTATTTCCTTTACTTATGTGTAAGTAAAATAAATGCTTATTCTAAAGGATGTTGATCAAAAAACCGGTGAAGATTTAAATGAAGAAATGACAAGAAAATTGCGTGGTGAAGAAAGTATTGAAAGTGCTTCTTATAGTATGGGAAGAAATCCTGATAGACCAATTGATTTACTATTAAACGATCGTCAACAACAACAAACACAATCGAAAGAGACAAGCGGAAGGAAAAAGAAACAAGTATCTGATTACGACTTATGGGAATATCAACAGGTGTGTTTTCTTATTTATCGTTGTTGAACTCTTGAATTGTTTGCATATATGTGTACAATGTAAATATGTACATCATATTTTTTTTAAAAAGTATGAAAGAAAGGTATAATTGCGCAAGAACAAGATTAGAGAAATTGCGCGAAGCATCAGAGTAATTGCCAGTTTTTATCTTGCATTGCGATACAAATGATATCATTATATTTGTTATAATAATGCGTCATTGTATATTTTTTGATATCGTGTAGTTTTTCATTTAACGGTAGGTTTGCGAAGAATTACAATAATTTTTGCCTATTTTGTTTCACAGATGTTGGCAGCAAGTTGTATTGCTAAAACTCAACTACCATACTATGATGAAGAAACTGGCGTATTACCAAAAGATGATGATTCAGGTAAGTAAAAATAAACGGAATCTACCGATTACAACAGCTTCGTAATTATGTTAAATTCTTGTATAAGTGGAATCAGCTATCACATTTTAATTATGATCTTTTATCTTAAATAGATGGTGAAGATGTTGAAATTGAACTTGTCGATGAGGAAGCACCATTTTTGAAAGGTTATGGTAAACAGAGTACACAAGATTTGAGTCCAGTTAAAATCGTTAAAAATCCCGATGGTTCATTGCAACAAGCGGCTATGATGCAAAATGCCCTATCAAAAGAACGTCGAGAATTAAAACAAGCACAACGTGAACAACAACAACGTAGTGAAACATTTCGACCAGATGGGATGAATTATGATGATCCGATGAATGCTGGTAATGAATTTAATCTAAAAAAATTCTTTTGTTATTCATACTTTTCTCTGTCATGTAGATGGTAATTCTCGTGCAACAACGACCGGTACAGATGGTACAAAATCAACGGCACAAATGTCCGAATGGAAAAAATCATTAATGAATCATCGTACAACCTACGGAAAACGTACAACAATGACTATTATGGAGCAGCGAGAAAGTTTACCAATATATCGTCTGAAAGAACAGTTACTAAAAGTAAGATTAGACAAAGCTATACGAAGTATATAGCACTCTATACATCAAAATATATTATCGGGTTTAGGCTGTCCATGATAATCAAGTTTTAATTGTTATTGGTGAAACTGGCTCGGGAAAAACCACCCAGATAACTCAATATTTGGCTGAAGTTGGTTATACAAGTCGTGGAAAAATAGCCTGTACACAACCACGTCGTGTTGCTGCCATGTCTGTCGCGAAACGTGTTGCCGAAGAATATGGCTGTCGACTTGGACAAGAAGTAAATTTATTGTTTATTTATCATAGTTGAGATTAACGAATAATATTTTAGGTTGGCTATACTATTCGTTTCGAAGATTGTACATCACCTGAAACAAAAATTAAGTACATGACGGATGGTATGTTACTGCGAGAATGTTTAATTGATCCAGATATGAATCAATATTCAATTGTCATGTTGGATGAAGCACATGAACGTACAATACATACAGACGTGCTGTTCGGTCTTATGAAGCAGGTATGCACATTGAGACTTCATTGAGCTAAAGGCGATACACAAGTAATTGTTTAGGCTGTTCAAAAACGTGGTGAATTAAAATTGATTGTTACATCCGCTACATTAGATTCAGTGAAATTTTCCGAATATTTTTTCAAAGCAGTAAGTTTTGATTTTTCTTGTAAAACTATAAGATTAGATTTTATAAAAATTAATTTTTCTTTAAGCCAATATTTACAATACCTGGTCGAACATTTCCTGTTGGTGCGTATCGAATATGTTGCCTTTCGTACTAATCTCTATAAAATTATAAACCATAAGGGTTTGAAAAATTGTAATAATTATTTTTTGTCTTGTAGAAGTACTTTATACAAAAGAACCCGAAACAGATTATTTGGATGCTTCTTTGATTACAGTCATGCAAATCCACCTAACAGAGCCACCAGGTAAATAAAGATAAAGCTTTTCTGCGTATTTATCTTAATTTTTCGTTCTCTATTTCAGGTGATATACTTGTATTTTTAACTGGTCAGGAAGAAATTGATACAGCATGCGAAATTCTGTTTGAACGAATGAAATCATTAGGGTCTGATGTACCTGAATTGATCATATTACCTGTTTATTCAGCATTACCTAGTGAAATGCAGACAAAAATTTTTGATCCAGCACCACTTGGTTCTCGAAAAGTATGTAAAAAAATCTACTTCTAGTATCGATTACTATTTAATATACATATGCATGATAAACTTTTTTCTCTCATTTAGGTTGTTATAGCAACAAATATCGCCGAGACATCGCTGACAATCGATGGTATATATTATGTCGTGGATCCTGGTTTTGTTAAGCAAAAAGTTTTTAATCCCAAAACAGGAATGGATAGTTTAGTTGTCACACCTATTTCACAAGTATGAATTTGTTTTTCTATTTTATGTCACATGGACTGTGTGTTTAACCTTATTGTCATTCATTTTGTAGGCTCAAGCTAAACAACGCATGGGTCGTGCAGGCCGTACGGGTCCTGGCAAAGCCTATCGTTTATATACCGAACGAGCATATCGCGATGAAATGTTAGCCACCAATGTTCCTGAAATTCAACGAACAAATTTAGCTAGTACTGTACTGTCATTGAAAGCCATGGGTATTAATGATTTATTATCGTTTGATTTCATGGATCCACCACCATTGGAAACAATGATCATGGCTATGGAACAATTACATGCATTAAGTGCTTTAGATGACGAAGGTCTTTTAACACGATTGGGTCGACGCATGGCTGAATTTCCACTTGAACCACAGTTATCAAAAATGTTAATTATGTCGGTTCAATTGGGATGTTCAGAAGAAGCCTTGACCATTGTTTCAATGTTATCTGTACAAAATGTTTTCTATAGGCCAAAAGTATGTTTATACTTCGTCTACTCTTTACTTTAATACAATTGGTACGTGAATTATTTAGGAAAAAGCTGAACAAGCTGATCAACGTAAAGCACGTTTTCATCAAGCTGAAGGCGATCATTTAACATTATTAGCTGTTTATAATGCATGGAAAACAAATAAGTTTTCAAATCTATGGTGTTATGATAATTTTGTTCAACAACGTTCATTAAAACGTGCACAAGATATAAGAAAGCAAATGTTAGGCATTATGGACAGGTAAGATTGTTTGTCATTTTATCTCTTTTCAAATGATTCATTAACTACTCTTATTCTCTAGACATAAACTCGATGTATTATCATGCGGTAGAAATACGGGTTTAGTTCAAAAAGCAATTTGTTCTGGATTTTTCCGTAATGCAGCTAAACGTGATCCACAAGAAGGTAAGAGAAATAATATGAACTATTGTTATTCAATATATGCTATAGTTTTTCTTTCTTCAAGGATATCGAACATTAGTAGATAGTCAAGTTGTCTATATTCATCCGTCTAGTTCGATTTATCATAGACAGCCCGAATGGTAAGCAAAAAGCATACTTATAAAGATAACATGTAGTATTTACTATATTTCTCATTTGTAGGCTTTGTTATCATGAACTGGTGTTTACAACAAAAGAATATATGCGTGAAGTATGTGTTGCAGATCCCAAATGGTTAGTAGAATTTGCACCAAAATTTTTTAAATTTGGTGATTCAACAAGATTATCGAAAATGAAGAAAGAACAAAGAGTTGAACCATTGTTCAATAAATATGAAGAACCAAATTCATGGAGAATATCAAGATTGAGAAGACCTTACTATAATCCAGCTGGTAATGACACTGTTTTCTATTTTCCATTTCTATTAAATACCTTAAACCTTTTTTCGTTTGTTTTTTTAGGCAAATTTGGTTAAACCATTTCGTCGAACAATGTCTATGTATTACAGTGTAAAACGTCCTCGTTTATATGTATTGTTGTCGTTGTTTGTTTTCATACTATCGGTTCTTTTTTGTACATTTATCTTTACGTCTGTTTCTTTTATGATCTGTTGAAGTTTGAACAAAAAGTTAATAGTTACATTGTGTACATTAGCAGCCAATTTGTTGCCGTATATCGTCTTTATCCGTTTTGCTTTCTCGAGCTAATATAACGTTCATATATGATCAACAATTTAACTACTAATCATTTTTCTGACTGTTTCGTGTAATTGCCATCGTTTTGTTCTATTACCACTTGTTTCAAGAATAACACAGTTGAGATGAATTCCACAATAGTTAATTATCAAATATGCAACAATATAATGCGGCAATAAAAGCTTGCTCTAGGTGTATTCTATATAGTAAAAGCAGATATAGTTAAATGAAGGGGAAATTTTTATGCATATGTTAAGTAGAATAGGCTAAAAATAATTCCAAAAGGATCGTTTCATTTCATCATTGGCACGAAACAAAATACAATAACAAATGTTTTTTTAGAAAATTACCCATGCTTTGATTAATCTGTATTATCAAGTGATTTGTCGTCAGAGAAAGCTATTACGTTTTCGTTATTTAATTTGACTTTTAGATTTTAATTGAATTTATTTTCGTCTACTATACGATTTATATCGAAATGGCAGATAGTAGAGAACAACATATAACCTATGATGTGGAAGTTTTGACACAAATTAAAACTCATATTTCTCTATTCAGAAAAACTTTTTTTTGAGTCAAAACATGAGTTTTTGTATCTATATTTTCTAAGCTTTTCAAATATAGCTTTTTAAGAGATTTTACAGGATGTTTCGTTTTGGAGTTATGGATGTTTTTCTGGCATGCTTCAAAATGTCATTTGTGCAGAGAGAAAAGGCCATTTTTCTCAGTTGTGCTATGCTTAATATTTTTGATAATAAATGTTTATTTAAGTACCACATCGTAGAGCAAACGATTCTCTACAAAATGATCTTGTATGATTTGAGAAAAGGACGCTAAAAGTATTCTGTGAGAAGCCCCGTATCATGTAATACGTAAAATTAACATTTCTTAAAAAACAATATTTGAAAAACTTAGAAAATATAGATACAAAATCTCACGTTTTGATTTGAAAAAGAAAAAGGTTTTTCTTAATAGAAAATTATAAGTTTTAATTTGTACGAAGACTTTCGCGCTATACGTTAGAATACAACAAATGCAAAAATTTAATCTAAAATAATAACAGTGACAAATTCTGGAGTTAAAAATGGAACAGTTGGAAAAAGAACGAGTAAAAGTTGACGACAAATGAATAAGTATGTTGTCTCCTAATGAGATTAACTTTCGAGAATTGATCGTAATTTTAATAGGAAAGAAAATGATAGTCAATATAAATCAAACTGAGGAATTTTTAATTATGTGTACTTTTCGTGATTATACTTGTGTTGAACCGTTGCAGTGAGGAAACGAATCAATTTTTAATAACAATTAAACGAAAACTTGTTCTGTTTATTGTAATACCACGTTTTGACATCCAAGATTTAGAAACACTAGTAAATGTTCGAAATATGTTTTTTAACTGTATTTTATATGTTGTTTAAAATTTGAGTAATCGAATATAATCAAAAATAATTTGATGTCCTTGTCTTCCTTATTAGCACATTATCATATCATTTTCAAACAATTGGCTGTTGTTTGAGTTCAACTCATATGTGTGTATTTATTTAACAATGTGAGAAAAAAGAAAATGTTTAGAGTAGTAAAAAAAACAAAAACCATTTTCATCCTTCCTTTATTGAATTACGTTTTTTATCAAAACTTGTTTTTTTCGTAGAATGTAGACAAAAAAAAAAAATCAAGAAAATCTATGTACACGGTGTCATTATCATGTATTGCACATCAGACGAGTTATTACATTCGGGTTTAGAAGTTGTCAATTATCATTTTTATCTTCCATTTTTGTTATGATTATTAAACGTTCAAGGTTAATTTCATTATTATTTTCTTCATTCAGTTTTTGATAAAATAGTTGATGAAAATTTTCAAAGGATAAATCTTGATTAGAAAATATTTTTGGAAATGAACATAAACAATCATACCATATTTTAATACGATTTTGTTCCGATACATAATAATAGCGAAATGTCAGATCATATATCCATTGTAATTGTTTTAAATTTGGCCATAATGAGAGAGATGAATTTATTTGTTCTTCTTCATTGTATAGCTCCTTATTAAAATCATAAATTAATTGTGCTAATTTTACAGCATATTCAACAACATTTAAATTTATTCGAGAGATTGTCTGAACTTGTTGATCAGATGGTAATAATTTTGGTAAAACTATTACCGTTTTATTATTTGTACTCTGTTGGTCATTATTAATAGTTGAATCTGTTTTGAATTTTTTATTCCTAGATGACGTTATATTTGCATTTATACGTTCTAATATTATTGATGGTTCTCCTGTTGAATTTTCGATCTGAAATGAAAGAAAACAAAAAAATACAACGTTATGTTCTAAAAAATAGTATGAATGAAAATTTTTATAATCAATTCTCTAATGAAAGATCGGATATATTTTTTCTAAAATTAAATTTCATCATTATTTTGTACATACTATTTTTAAGTCTGATTTTCTTTTTTGTAATTGAGTATCTTCTTTCATCTGCTTTTCAACATCATTATTGATATCATGGTTTCTTCTTAAACCATTTTCCATTAAATCATTAATAACCCAATTGATACATTTTTTCCATCGAATAATTTCTAATTCTTGTTCATTTCTATTCTTTTTTGTTTTATCTACTTCAAAAAAATGTTTCATCCACTGCTGTTTTATCCAGTGTACATGTACTGGTCGAGCATAACAAATAATAATACTATTATCAGTCCATGATATAGTCTTTCTTTTCGCTTCAATCATACATTTAATATCTTCTGTGGGTAATGTTGCATAAAATAAATCAATCACAAATTGTTTTTCATCTGTTTTTGTTCTCTGTAAAATTTTTTTAAATATTTCTTCATTTAATCCAAAATATCTTTTAGAATTTTTATTCCATTTTTTCACAATTTCTGCGTATTCAGATAAATTTTCTTTATCACATAGTTCATATAAACGTTGTCGTTCTAAATCTGTATAACAATCAATTTGTTTTCGATCATTTAATATTAACATCATTGTAAAATCAATCCAAATCATCTTATGTTCTGGATAAGGTAAAAAACCGTTTGTACCCTTGAGATTACAACACATACGTTCTTCATAGGTCAAAATTTTTCGATATAAACTTAATATTAATTTATCAACACCTTTTATTTCACGTAATACAGGTAACAGTGTCTGATAATTTGGTGGTCTAGAATCCCGAATAATAGGATAATCTTCTATCAGATTATAAATCGATATATTTTTCTCTAATATTTCATTAATAGTGATTGATGCTGATTGAATTTTAGAAAAATTTTTTCGATAATAGATTGTAGCCTTATCTGATCGAGGTAAGGATTGTTTTGATGTTTGTTTTTTTGATGAATTTAAAGTAATAGTAGAGAATGAACAACTTTTTTTTGTACAACTAGAACGCGAGAAAAAATACATTGATGCAAATTTAAAAAGTATAAATCTCCTAGTAGTAATATGCAAAATTTTTGTTCTTTTTTTCCAAATACTTCAGTAGAAACATTCTTACTTTGGCGATACTACTGTTCGTTTTATCGTGTCTTCCGTTGTATCGTCCGTTTGAGTTGTTTCATAAAAATTGGGTGAAATTACGGGAGATAGTGAGGGCGATAATTGTCGTATAGTTTTCGTTGGTAAATCTTTTATTTTTTTATTTTTAATTTTCGTTTCGCGTTTGTTTGTAGTTTTATTATTCTTTCCATTATTAGTCAGTAATACTTTAATAAAAATAATAAAAGTTAACCATAGTGGAAAAACATAATATATCTTGTAGTTCTACCTTCTTGAGAGGGTGTGACTGTTGCTTGTATTGCTGACTCTTGTGTTGGCGACGTCATTTGAGTAGCAATTAAACTAGACGAGAGATTTTGTAACAAAGATTGAGTTTGAGCCAAAAATGATGTTGTTTGATAAATTAATTGCTGATGGTACAATTCTGTATTTTGTAATTGACATATGGATGGTATTTCTGATGTTAATAGTGTTGAAGAGGTGGATGTAGTCGAATTAGTTGCTGGATTATGAGAAACAGTATTGCTGATATTATTGTTCACGTATGAAAATTCATTCATCAATATTTTTGTTGTACGTTCGATTGCAGCGAGATTGAGCATAACTTGTTCACGTTGATTTTCATCATTTAAACGTTGTTGAATAAATGGTGTAAATGTCTAAAATAGAAAATATATATGTTAATAGTATGTAATAAAAGCAACTTTGACTTACGTTATTTAATTTTTCTTGTTCTCCATTTGATGTGACGGAACATATGGATGTGGCAGTTGATTGAGATATATCATGAACAGAACTCGACATATTTTTAAGAAATTAAGAAAATCTAAAATAATTATCAGACATAGAGTAGCTCTGAAAATAAGACTTGGTTTGATCCCCATTATATGTAAGAGAATACGAGTATATTGAATAAACCGTCTGCTTTCTCTTAACATATGAATTTTCTAATACAAACTGTTGACTTGTTCGAAATAAGAAAATATTCCTTTTTCCCAGACTATGATTCTATGAAATAATGATACAAAAGCGTGCTGATATTGATGATCGCATTTATTGAGAACGAAAAGATTCTCGGTGGTTCGAATTTAATGTTCAGACAACGATCTTAGACATTCTGTGATGATCATGAGTCTTAATTCGTGTCAAAACATTAATGTTAAAGAACTTTTATTATTTTGTGCCATAGAACAAAGAAAATGCATCGATTGGCCAATGTGGATCTAATCAGTTTATTGGAAACATATGTGTAAAGAGGCATTTTCTAACACGTTCCATCATCATGTCAATTTTCTTTCTCGATATGACCGGTATGTGGCTTTTCACTTTTGTAAATATTAATTCTCCGTTTTGTGTCAGTTGAGTCTCTTGTATTGGATAATGAATATAATGGATCTAAGAACAACAGGAAATTCAATAGTGGAAAGTGAATGCTTGTCGTCCTACAGAAGAAACAAATGGAGCACCCATAGAAAATGCAAACATTAAAAATAACAGAAAAGCTGATAATTTCCTATAAGTTTAAGCAGTGGGTACACTTAATTGCAAACAAAGTCAAGAAATGGCTTCATCGTCAGAGAAAGAAGCCAATATAAATAGATTAATTGCACTAAATACAGTTTACTTGAAGACTATTTTACTTCTGTTCTTTTAGCATTTGGAAATCTGTTGAAACTCTATTTATTGGAGTTTTTCGAATGAAAAGGAACACAATTCATAGAAAGACAGTCACATGATCACATATGAATTGCATGAAATGAAACTAAATAAACGTCTGAAGTAGTTGGCATAGAACGAAAAGGAAGAACAGTTAATTTTTATGTACATTTCTTTAACATATACTAATCCGGAGTCGTATCACGAAAAAACTTAAGTCGGGAATTAAGTCCGGGAACTTAAACCGTATCATGAAAAGACAAATCAAGTTGGTGATTTGTTTACTTTTTAAAAGTCGTTGACAATAGTGACAAACTTCAAAAACCCGCAAAATAACGAAATATTTATTCTCTAATCCTTAGAATGTCGTTTTCGTCGACTCGTATCGTTAAATGCCTAAGATATTCGAAAATGCGTTAATAACTTAAGTTTGTGGTCTTAACTTTAAGACTACATTTCCCATGACTTAAGTTTTTTGTAATACGATAAAACTTAAGGCCAAAGGCTTAAGTTAGTGACAGAGACTTAAGTCGAAATTTTCACTTCAGTTTTTTTGTGATACGGCCCCCCGGGCGTGAGTTCTAGACATTTTAAATTTTGTCATCTCAGATATAAATCGAATTTGTATAACATTGCAGAATGCTTACAAGAAGCGTTAAAACAATTGATGAAAGCATCGAAATGTGTTCGCGATTGTTAATTTGACGTTTTAGAATCTTTTTTCAGAATGCGAAACAATTAATTCGTGAAAAAATTAGTTCAGACGAATAATCACTCTTTAGATTAGACCCGTACTTTCATCTCAATACCATAAATTATATGTCTTGTTTTCAGCGGCGTCTACGCATGATCTCTCAAATAAAAAAATGAGGTGATGCATCTTTTTCTGAAATCTTTTTTGCAATTTAAGTTAGAGTGCAAAAGTTGAAGTTAACGTTTGAAGGAGTGCACTTTAAAAACAACCACTACACAGTCATAACGGACTGAAAAAACATTCAAGTACATTATTGTTTTTAAGACTAATTATAGAAAGTTGAAAAAAGTTTAATAATGCAAAATGACAGGTGGGGCTTTATGCCTCACAATACCAGTTTACTGGTATTGTGCAATTGTTTGTTTTACGTTAATGTTCGGTATTCGTATTTATTATGTTTCGTTTTTCATATCAACGTGAACAAAAAAATAAAGTTCATGCAGAGTTTCGAAAAAGTGCTTTTTCATATTTAGCATACTTGATAATCCAAAAGATTTTATCTTCTATGTGTTACAAAAACTTCAGAAAAATTTTTCGAAAAAAATAGCGAAAAAAATTTCCATTGGAACACAATATTTGTTTCAAAACTTTAGGCAGTATCCCTCGACAAAAATAAAAAATATGTATGTCTTAAATACAATATCCAGTAACAAATAAAAGTTGAGATGAACGTAACAAATCACCGATATAGTTAAATTATATTCCATCACCAAAAACATGTAGAAAAATACAGAATGATACTTTTAGTACATTAGAAAAAAGATCCCGGAACAAATGAGATAAGCATACGGAAAAACACTGAAAAAGGAAAAATGAGACTAACGCACCAATAAATTTGTAATTATAAAAAAAGATATCTGTATTAAGTATAAATACGGAGCGAACAAACCACTCTAGAGATATATTTGCTTTAAAGATCACGTAATTGTAGGATATAAAAATTATTCCTGAGTCTAGAAGTTACAAAAGTCTAAGAGAAAAAACATTAACAAGTGAAAGACATTATTAAAAAAATAAACAGTATATTTATCATCGTTATTTTTCTAATTAGTTTTGTACAAAAAAAAACCGAAATGTGAAACAAGCCACAGAGAAAATAGAATGATGTGGGTGAAAAATATACTAAAAATTCACTGTAATACAGGCGGGAAAAAGAGACAGAGAAAAAGAACAACAATAGTCGATTTTCTATTAGCGTCTACTTATGATTAATCGACATGGTAGATTTTTATCACTTTGAGTAAAGTATTCACAGTTGATTGTTTACTTTGAACTATCTGTCAAACCTGATTTCATTAACAAATTTATCAGAATATCAATATTTTTCCTATTATTCGATGTTAATTTTACGATAATATCACTTTTTGATCATTTTTATGTACCATTATTCGTTGTCGTTATACTAACATTAGATAGAAAACTACTAGACTCGTATAGTTCATCTTCACCTTCGTCAATATCGTCGTTACTATTCAATATTTTATATTGTACATTTGAAGAAAGTTGCCTAAGGCGTTTCAGTCGTGAACGATTCACCTGTGCATAACATACAAGACTGATTACGCAACTAGCGGATATAAACGTTGAAATACATAGACAAATGAGAAGTATTGTTTGGCGTTTACGATCAAGAGTTCTAAATTTATTTTGAATTTTTGCTAACCATGAAGTTGAATCCTTTGATGTCTCTGGTTTAACCAATGGATGCAAACAGAAACCTAAAACAAATCAATAGTTTTTCTCGTAAATAAAAAATACATGTTAGAGGATAGAAATAACTTAACTTACCATCATGAGATTGAGAGCATTGACAACAGTTTTCATCTGTTTTATTTGTTAAGCAGCATGATAAACAACGATGTGTAAGCATATCTAATGCCATTGGATAAACGCAATCGCGACAATATGTACCAGGATGTAAACATTGTAAACAGTTTTCGGAACATAATTTACATATCTATGAAAAAATAAGTTAGAATTTTATGCAAACATGTATATTTACTACTTACATTATCAACTTTATCGTAATAAGCTTCATTGAGGCAGTTACTATTACATTTCTTGTTGATCATGGAAAATCCTATCGTACATGTTTTGCAATCGAGTTCACTTGGACCTGAACGACAGATGTACTCACAATACAAATCAAAAACATAGTTAAAAACTATTGAAAACCTTTACCTGTACACGAATCACATATTGGATGGCACAATTCACATTTAGATCCATCTGAATAATAATTATCGGGACATTCCTGAACGCATGTGCCATTCAGTAAAAATAAATAATTTTGACACGACAAGCAATATGTTTTGTTTGAGCATTCGTGGCAAGGAGACTGACATACTTGACAATCAGTACCTGATAAATATTGTCTATAACAAAAACGATAATATTTGTCTAGGTATAGAAACTATGCGACAGACAGATTTTTATGTTGAATATTGAGATATTTTTGATATCCACAGCATTTTACTAACGATCAATTTGTTATCGTAAGCAGAAAAAATGTCTGGAATAAGTCGTAAATGAACTACGATCATTTTATTCTAAGGAATTAGCTACATACCCTGCTTTACACATTGGATAGCAACGATCATCGTTTTTCATCACATAATTCCAATCGCACTGATTGCAATTTGAGTTATCTATACAATTTAAACATCCAAGTGGACATCGTTTGCATATGGATGTCGTGTACGACGCTGTTGAATATTGTTCGGAATAGTAACCTGTCGGACAGTCATCAACACAATAACCATCAATTGATAATAATTTAATAGTGTCGCAAGCAATACATTGATTCGGTTTTGAACCATTACAAAATAGACAAGACGAATGACATAAATGAGATTTGTGCGTTTTAGGATCTATGTAAAAGGGTTTGCCAGTGTATTTCTGACATTTATCGTTTTCAAATATATATCCTAAATGATGGCATAAAAATGAGATGAGAACAGTTTAAGTTTATTTTCTCTCTGAAACTACATTTCGTACACACTTAAACCTTTTCTAGAATTTACTCTTACCTAGTTTGCATTCTGTGCATGTATTTTCATCCGCTGATGTACAACTGGCACAAGTATCATAACATAATATACAGCTATTCGATGACGGAAAATAACCTGAAACATCAGAGTTATCCATAGTTTCTGAGTAATATATTATGTTAAAACCACAGTTGATTTTGGATTGATATTTAATTTTATCATTCACAAATTGTGAGTATAAAGCCAAGGAATAGAGAAATAGGGCGCCTACTCGCTCCTTGAGATTTCATTTTAGTGTTGCCCTGATAAGTTTTTTGATGACTGAAATTCTTCTGTGTTTATCTCTAAATACGGCGTTCCAATGTTCTGCTTGAATTTTTTCGAAACACTTGATGTCTCTACTCCTAACTATCGAAACGACTATAAGGTTATCTGGAGGCCTTGTAGAAAAATACAGCATCAAACAGAGCTGTATCAGATTCAGGCATGGGCGAGTTCGAGGCCGAACTGGAAGACTTTTTGGCGGACTCGGACTTGAGTTTTTGTATTTCGAGTCCGATCTATTCAAGTTTTAACACAAATGAGCAGAGAAAAATGAAAAGCGAAATAACAACACCTACTGTTTCGCATGAAATTGAAAATTTTGTTCGGGAGACGGATTTGAAACGTAACCTTATTTTCGAAAAATCAAATATCTATTCAGGGCTCAGCAAATTAAAATATAAATCACCCTCATCAAAAAAGAATCTAAAAGATTACCGGACTCGAAATGGACTCGGACTCGCCCATGCCTGATCAGATCTCATTTTAATGAGAAATATCTGCTCTACAATTATGAATATTTCGAGTCGACTTTCCAAGAGAGATCCTTCTTAAGTAATCTTACACTCATTAATATTCAGTGGTAATATGCGCAGCGATTGAATATTAAAGGTGCTATTAGTGAATTTTACCAGCGGTTAAACAAAATTAATTTTCTTCAGTTAGTTTAATCTTTTTTTACAAAATCATTATGGGACTTCTTTTTTTTATCTCCTATCAAAAAACTTTTCTCCTGTTTTTTATTCTATATCGCAGTAACATTGAACAGTATTTCAAAACGAACTCAGAATGACAATTCGAAGTAGTGAAGCTGAACTTTTCTATTTCTTGATGGCTATTCCTTACTGGAATCCCGATGACTAGACCGGCATGAAGAGAGATTTATAATAAAATAAGAGAGGAATACAAAATCAGCCGCTGTTATATATTTCAAATAGTCACCTGGTGAACATGTTTTGACACAGGAATGTTGCTGAACCATTGGATATTCTGAATTTTCTGTTTGATTGCAACTCGTACATTGATCACTTCGAGAACCACTGCACGTTAAACAACGACTATCACACGATTGACAACTACAAGAAAATACATGACGTGATTTATTTTTAGAAAATTTGTCAATTACGAAATTTCTGACTGTTCAAAAACTCAATTACGGGACTTTAGGTATATTCTTACAGCAAATATTTAATTTCTCTTACGTATTATCTTTAAAATCATAGTATTCCGTTGATGCACATATTTTTGGAGTTTTGACACATTGTTCACCTTTCAGCGCATAACCAACATTACACGAGGTACATTGTGATGGCTCATTATCACATGTCAAACAGTTTGATTTGCACTGAACACATTTTCTGAGTTTTCTATCTAAAGAAATTGCTGTTAACCGTATTTTGTAGAATTACTATTGCTTAAGTTGAATACCAGTGTAATATGCTGATGGACACATTTGAACACATGCCATTGTATCATGAACTAGATAGTTGTCAGATTTACAATTAATGCAACTTGTATCCGATAGATTACTACATGCAGCACAATTTGCATGACAGGGTAAACACGTTGTATTGGATGCTAAATAGGTACCATCAGGACATACTGACAGACATTGACTAGAAAAGAAAAATAAATTGAAAACATAACAATAAGATGCTTTGATGGTTACTACTTACAATTTTCCATTTTCTAATATTTTTTTAAAATGACGACAATCAAGACAGTCTATTTCGGATGGACCGCAGGGTTGTAGATCGGGCTTACACTCTGGATGACACTGAATAAAGAAGAGAAAGACAGAAATTAATAGCTGTATAAAGGAGAAAAAAACGAGAAGATAAATAAATCAACACTATACACAAAGCAAGAGAGTGAGAGAGACGGTTTACTCAGATAGATAAAGCATATTTAAAAATGGAAATACGTACTAAGAGAAGAAACAGTTATCTACGACTACTACTAAGCGGAAAGATGAAAAATACAATCACAATAGTAGCAGTATGCATTGGGTATTTTAGATGAAATTGGCAATGATTGAAAATCTCTCACTTATGAAAGCTTCCTTAAATCTACATTGGTTAGAAAAAAATTGTATATCATTGTTATTTAAAGCTAGAACCAAAGATAGCTATTGTCTGTTTTAGAAATTACTACTAGATATTATAGGAAGTAATAAGAGTTTAGAACATACAGGAAAATAAATCAATAGTTCATATACGTACTTATTTATTTCTGCTTAAACTTGAACATACGCATACTCTATTCATAATTATCATACAGACTATTTTTTTCAAATTTTTCCTTTATAGTGAAACTGTAGATTAAATATCCTTTAAGTGTGATTTATAAAGTTTTGTAGGATATAAAACAACATGTCGGGATGTTATTTTACATTCAATCACACATAGATTGATCAAGTTTTCACTTTTTAGGATATATTACTTCGACAAAAGCTGAACGTGTTTGTCAAAATACTTTAAAGATCCTATTTCCTAAGACATTACACTATCAAAGAGAAAATTTTAGAGACTGACACCAATGTTATAACACTAATAAGACGTCAACATCAATATTAACAACACAAAAACAATAACACCATCAATATTTACGAGAAGTAAGATATCATTCATGTGTACAACGTGACGCTTCCAATTTTATTTCGATGACTATTTTTATAAATTTCTAAACGAAGCAATATAGATTTAGTGAACTCGTTTTACACGAAGTTCAGTTGTTAACGTGCTCTATTTTCGTTTGTTATTGATGATTATATTGTATCCAGTCACACAAAAACACAAAAACATAAATATACCTTATAGCGAACGAAATAAGCAGTCTTTTCTTTTATTAATTTTTAACAAAATAAAATAGTCAACAGTAAATCAAAATAAGTTCACCTTACACGATATAAATAAAAATCTACTAAAATACCGATAGAATTACCTTTTAAAGAATAAAAAAGATTAGCGCCATTTTAACTCCCTGCATGATAACAATCACAATAATATTTCACATAGAAGAACAGCAAAAAGATATTTGGCAACAAAAATGATACATCCGACAAATTACTGTTCAATTAAATAAATAATTTACGTTCGACTAAACATAAACACATACTGTCTACACAATGTCATAGAAAAAAACCCAGAAGCAATATAGAACGTCTTAATACATCAGACTAAGCGTGATCATTTTGATTATTTTCTACGAAATGCCCAAAACAAGTAGTTACAAGTAAGCTGGTTTAAACAAGCCAAATGTTGAAGAAAAGTAGAAGATCATATACAGGAAAAATGAGGTGAAAATAAGTGATCTGTTTTTGTGTGGGAATCTTGAGGAAGAAAAAATCAATGAGAAACTTAGAAAAAGTAGAATACTTGTAAAATAATAAAAAACAAAAATAATATATCACTGTTCTAGTAGCATTTATTTGTTTTTTTTTTGGAATGTTGAAAATTATTTTGATCATAATTAGAATATTATTTTTTTTTATAGAGAAAAAGAAGATATCTTCAATAATTAGCAACATTCTTATAAAGGCACATACCAATAATCATTTCTTTAGAGCTGCTACTAGCCCATGTTGCCGAAGCAAGTTTTTTTTGCGTGATCACTTAATAAAATGCAGAAAATATACGTGGCGTAACGCAAAAAATGATCACATAAGTGAAATTCTGTATTAATTCGACTATACAGAATTTTGTAAATATTTTGCTGTAGAAGAATATACAGAATTTTGTAGAATTTCGCATTTGTAACCATTTTTTTTGTTACAGCACTTTTTGTGCATTATTCACTTGATACACGCAAAAAAAATTTGGTTTAGACGACACAGAAGGGGAAGAAATGAAGCATTTAAAGAGATTAGGGAAAGACGAGAAACAAGTACAAAGAAGCACCAACCATAACTCACTTTGTAACAACAAAAATGATCGCTGAGATTAAATCGAAAAAAAATTACAAGTAAAAATAGAAAAATGACGTTTGTAAAAATAAAAAATAAATAATTATCACATACATGATCATTTTCAAGAAAAAATAACGGAAGTCAAATATATATTAAACAAAAAAGATATATAAAATTAATGTTGTGAATAAAGAATAAGAAAAGAAAAATGTAGACACCATGGATGATGAAGATTGTGAATCAATAATAACACTTACACTATGAAATTTAGAATCGGAAGATTTTGAAGGTGAAGCAGAACGGGTAGACCATGGATAGTCTTTCGTACCATGAACAACTAAACGCCATGATTGTAAACGAGCTAAAAAATGGTAAGAGAAAGAAATACGTTAACTTATCCGAACTCTTATTATCAGATAAGATAATATCAAAAATAATTGAAACAGAAGATATTTTACCTGAACCAGGACCTACGTTTACCGCTTCTATTTTCCACAATCCATGCGGAGATTCCCCCCATAGTTGCACTGTAAGAAATGCCCAATCTTGAAAACCTTTATTGCTTGCATCTTTTTGCCGTCGCTGAAACAGACACAAAAAGATGTTTATGCAGTTAATATGCAAATTCGTATCTCTTTTCCTTTTTACCGGTAATAATTGTGATTTTGTTCCTGATGGTGAATATAAGTATAATTCGATGTCACCACGCCTGTCTGCCGATAAACTGACAAATATTTGAACTTGTTCAATGTAATTTGCTTCTTGTGTTGGATCACTACTTTTACAATTCATTAAATTTAATTCGGAAAATTTTGTTTGACTTGGACCAAGAAACAAATTAGATTCTATTTGTGCTGATGAACATGATACCATTGGTGGTACATTAATCCATTTTTCGGCATACCATGTCATTAAGCCAGCATCCATTAAACCAAAACCAAATTTACTACTGACTAAAAGAAGGTTAAATTAAAACTTAAAGGTTAAACAAAAAACATAGAAAACAAAATAACTTACTATTAAATCCAGCAGCATTTTTTATATAATCTGTATTCGATGGTATAGCCGATGGTCTCGCCGATAAAATGACAATATGCATAACATCACGCCAAGTCAAATTAGGGCTACAAGAAACCAATATACTATATTAGATGTAAAGAGTGCAATAATAATACTATACTTTGCTTCGAGCATAAGTGCAATAATGGCAGCGGCCAATGGTGCCGCAGCAGATGTTCCCGTATGTCTTTCTGTGAATAAATAAGCAACAATGATAAGATCAATGATTTTCAGACATGTATAATGCGTTCATGTACCTGTGCATTCATGTCTTAAATCGGTTGTGATCTAGATAAAACAAAATGAAAACTATACAAATGATACAACAGATGTGAAACTTACAATGTCGTTTTCAGCACCATTCATGTTTCCACTCGAATATGCAGAGGCCAATGTTGCTGAACATGCTTCTAAATACCATGGTTTTTCACCTCGTTCTGTTGTTGCACTTATCGCGATCTACAATAACGTTTTAATAAGACAATATATATATATATAGATGATAAAAAATGAGACTACCGTATATATTGAATTGATATAACCATCACAGGCGCATGAATCAAACTGTCTACCACCATTACCGCTAGCCCAAATAAATATTGAACCTTTTCCATTACGTCCCTGTATAAAGTCAGAACTAAATAACTTTATCTATTGATAAATAACTTTAGTTTGTTTACATACCTTTCGTACCCCATCTTCAAAAGCTTTTTTTGCTAAACGACCAGGACCATCAACGACGAGTCCATTATCATCGGGACCCCTAAAATTAAAACCACTAACATCGGTAAAGTAGCGTTTCGCCAATTAAACTTTCGCCAATAGACATTCGCAATATTGGTGATTGGGGAATGTCTCGCCGACATTCGCCAATACCTCTAAACTACTGGCGAATGTCCACACGACATGCGTCAATACCTGTCCTCAGTATTCATTGGAGTGTGCATATGCGTGTTTTTCTGCTCTAAATAGTTCCTAATATGAAGATTTATGGTGCCTCAACTTTCATGCGTGATTTTCAAAATTCAAAAGTTTTTTTTCTTGAAATAAATTATCCGGTATTTGTAACCTCCTACCATTATATCGACATTCAGCACCAGCGGCAAGACTTATCTTATTTTATAGAGTTCGACGAGCTGAATCGAATGGCGAAAAATGCAGGTATAATCTTTGTTAGAAATAAAGTTGTCATTTTATACTCTTAGCGGAAAAGTGCATCTTTCGTCATTTTCCGGCGTATTTGGCTTAACTTATAAAACATCTCCTGACCACATTCTCTAACATAGAATCTTGGCTTAGTCTCAGATGAAAGAGCGCATCCATATCTCTCTATACCTATAGGTTTGAACGGAAAAACATTATGCTAGACGTGTGGGTCTTTAGAAAAAGATTTCTAAAAGCCTCGGTTTTCCAGACAATCTGACAACTTTAGAATTCATTTTCAAATATTTTTAATCACTCCCTTAGACAATTTTCTACAAAACGAGATATCAGCCAAGGTTGTATTATCAAAAAATACCACAGAAAATGCGATGCGGATCAAAAAATAGCAGCGGAAAGAAATGCATTATTTTTTGCTCCTTTCGTTCTACTACATAAATCACACTACGTGACATTTAAACATTTGTTAGCGGTAAAGTCGCGTTTCGCCAATAGACAATCGCCAATTTTCGTGGACATTCACCATTGGCGAACGTTGGCGAAAGCTGAATTGGCGAACTGCGACAAATCCCTAACATCATGTATGACTAAGTTGTAAGTCACTAATTTACCAACTAGCTGAATATATGTCAACATGATCGGGTCGATGACTCAATGAACGTGCTTCAACGCTATCTGTAACATCACCATCTAACATGCGTATACCTGTGAATAAAAATAGAAAAAACTTCTATAAACCGACTTATGGTATTTTAAATACGGTAATGGACATACCTCCCACTTTGGAATGATAAGCTACACCTACACCACAAATACTATTGTTAATCATTGCGGCCACTTCACCGGCACAACGAGTTCCATGTCTAGCAGAAAACAGAAGAGATAATCTTGAATAGATAACATTTATATATAAGACGGTCGTACTTATTTTCATTCGATGGATCATATCTCGGAGTTGGGTCCGAATCATTATCGTTGATATCGTAACTCGCATCTTTATCCTATTTTTGAAGAAAAAAAGAAATATTATTTTTCTTGCATAATATTATAATTGAAAGAACTTACATAATTTGCGTATAAATCAGGATGATCAAATTCTAATCCATCATCTAAAAACGATACAACACTGCCACGACCTGTGTAGCCCATTAGCCAAGCACCAGTTACATTTAAGTCTGGAAGTGATATTGATTGTTTATTACGTTTCTAAAAAGAATGGTTTATTGTTAACAAGTATGAGTGAACGAAAAGAGAGATTTGAAAACATACAAGGTACCACATTTTTGTCCATTGTGGATCATTCAATACATATTCACGTTTTCGTCTGCTTTTTGGCACCTGATGTTCAGCCCAGGAAACCTAGATGAATGATCAGAATAGAATCAATAGTTGAATAATTTTTAACTTTGATCTTACATCTTTATGCCTTTGAAGAATATCAACTGGATCTTCACCGTTTAGAACTGCACGTTTATGTCTTGCATGGTATTCAGATAATAGATCTTCTTCAACTTCACAAAAACTTGGAAATATCTAAAAACATACAAAGGTCATAACATACATAAGAGAGTTACAACAATAAGAAGACCAACTTCTTTAATAACACGATATCCATGAAGATGAGCAACACGTTTTCCGACTGTTTGACAATCACCATTAACCTCTATAACAATTGTTTTTGGATAATTTGTGGATGCCAACGATGATACCGTTGTAAAACAATGACAAATCAGTATATAACAACATATCAATACCAAATGATTGATGAAATTGGACACAATCATTTAATTATAACTGACAGAGAAATGGGGGAGAACGAAACTTCTCTGACGTTAGATCATTTTAAATCTTGTGTGGATGTATACGAGAGAAGATTTTTAAATCTAGAAAAAAACATCATCGAGTTATGAACATTTTTTCAAATGTCGAAATGACTTACCACCTGTTGCGCTATTTCAGTCTAAATTAACCCTGGTGCAAAAGATCTGTACTTGAACAAATGACCTTCTCATCTTATTTGACAAGGTGAACAGAATAGAGCAGAACAGATGATGTTGATATATTCTCTCATAATTATTTATTAATATTTCTTTCTTTCTTTCTTTCTTTCTTTCTCTCTTTTCTTCCTCATCTAGTAGACTATGTCTATATTATGCTGATAGAGTGTGTGAATCAACAATTCAAGAAAATATAAAAATAATGTCATTGTCTTGATGTGTAATCAAATGAAATAAATCAAAGATTTTCAATGTCATACTATTAATGAAATTCATGTGATAACAAACACCTGAAATCTGTCACTGATATTACGGAGAATACCGTAATCAGTTGAAGTTAATCGCATTTTGAACTGATAAAAAGTTATATTTGATAGAGCTTCTGTAATCCGTAATGATTAGTACCAAGGCAAGCAATAATTAAACGTCTATGAAAAGAACAGCTTTAGTTTAAGTGATAAGGCTTTATACTAACTTCAATCAAATAATTGCGAAGCGCAAGGTTCACAGATATGAAGAACTATGATTCTCGATCTGTTATCGACTTTGTTTTTAAAGCGTTACTTACCCTATTTTCACAAAAAAAATGCAGTTAATCTCTTTATTTCATATCTTAAGAACATATTCAAAAAAATAAGCAAGTGCTCTATTTGTCACAAACGTAAAAAAAAAGATAAAAAATTATATAAAAGTATCAATCGACCTCATACAAGTTCAATGAAAAGAACATGCTGAGGAGTTAGATTAACACACATAAGAAATTGCGTAGTGCCGATAATTATTCATCAGTATATATATATATATATGTGTGTGTCTGTGTGTGTGTCATGTTTGACAGAAAAAAAGAAGAAAAAGGAAGACCTATGAGCAAATGAAAATGAAGAACGCCCTGATAGCTCGAAAACGAACAGAAAAAAAAAGATCGTTAAAATTAATGAATTGCATTTATATATTGCAAAGACTCGTGTTAATAAAGGTTAAATAGCGAATAAACGACGTTAAATTAAGTTTCTCCTTCAAATAAAATTAACCTATTACAGAGTTCTAATAATAGTGGTGAAAGTAGTTTGTCGGCAGAAACAAACTGATCCAAAACTTTCTCCTAAGTCATTATGTGAGTTTCAGTGGTTACAATTTTACATTTTTTCACAAGGATAAATAGGCGCAAATTTTTTTATTTTTATTACTAACACATGAGGTTTTTTATTCTTTTGAAAAGAGGTCCTAGAAATACATTCAATCGATACTTGAAACGTGTTTCTGAGTCATTTAAACGATATCCGAAACGCGTTGAAAACAAAAAAACCTCATGTAAAGGTAACACCATGCAAACAGGTATCCGAAAAATTAATATTATCTTCTTAACTGGTAATGTATTAAAGGCTTGAATTAGAAATAACCTCGTATAGCTAGCAATTGCATTCCATTAGGTTTATTGAGGATTAATATTAGAATATTAGCTACAGATTATAGACCGTACAAATACATCACAGTTTAATGGTACGGATCGATCAGTGCCATTATACGTGTTTTCTGAAGAATCTTTCTCTTCTAGTCATTGAATGTTTGTTAAAAGAGAAGAATGGAATAGAGATATAGAATATAATCGATTACTTCGACGTCCATCGATGGAAAATGCTTTGACTCGTAGAAATTTTTCAGAAAAGTTTTAGCAAAAATAACTGCAAAAGAAAAGATTCTGACACTAGTGGGAAATTTTTTAGAAATTTTTCCGTCGACTTTCTTACGTGTAGATTCTGTAACTGGCAAGGAAACTCTACCGTAACGTTATTTTATGTTTATCACTATTTTAGTTTCTTCTTTTCCTTTCTTTATCGTATTCTCTCTTTACAAGCTAAGGTTATCACAATAACGTATAATATAGATAGTTGAATACAGTTTATTCCAGTTTGTACAAAACTATTGAGTACAGTAATGTTTAGTAGATACACATACACATTTGTAGATTGTACTATATTTTCTGAAAATGAATGTTGTATGATTCGAAAGCTCAAATATTTTTAAAAACTAAAACTAAATTAAATTAAAATTAAACATAGATATTGCTGAGAATTTAAATAAAACATTTCTTGTAAAAGTCCTGCCATTTCTCAATTGAAAAAACATTTCACTTTTTCTTCTTTCAGTTTCTTGAGATAAGAACTTTTCCTAGATAAATAATCATGTATAAAAAACATCGACATCTCAAATATTTTAAGATTTAGACGAAGTTCACTGATCAAATAAAAAAATTTTCACAAACGTTGTTATTCCATTCTATACAGCTTTGCGCGTCAAAAATGCTTGTACAAAAACTTTTGTCTTGTGATGTAATTTCAACACAATCAGATCTTGGAAAATTTTAACTTATGAGACCTTGTCAGAAAAGAGACTTTGGACAAAACCTGACATGTAATTTAGGAAAAAAATCGATTTCAAAGTTCTTAGTTCTCAAAAATGAGGATACCTTTTAAACAACATTTCTCAGAATAATAAAAACTATAAAACTCATCCGTCTGTCATTGAAAAAAAAAAGTAGAGAAGCTGTGTGAAGCGAACTGCTCTATATTCTAGACACAAACACAAGAAGTTTTGCGTAAAGTAAACGACTGAGCAACGTAGAGTTGTCTACATGGAATTTAAGGAATTCCAATTACAACATTTTGTCTGGAAACAGTGTGGGGTAAAAATCAGTACAACTCCCTTGTTTTTCAACTATAAATTTCGACTGATATTTCTCAAAAAAGCGACGGAGCAGTTCACAAAAAAAGTTTTCAAAAAATACTCGTCTGATCAAAACTTTGTTAATTATTTTTGTAAAGACTTGTCCTTCCATGTCATCGATACCGGCGAAATACCGCCCAGTATGCTGTGAGGTATACCGCCATGTAAGTCGAAATTATCACACGGTATACCGAACCGTCCTGTATTTTCTGATTATGAATACGTAGAACGCGAGTTTGAAACTAGTTTCCAACTTTCTTTTTTTTGTTATTATCGAGCGCTTAAGCGTATGAAGACTCTGAATACTGAGAGAGAATCTGACTCGAGTCGAAGTTCAAACTTCGAAGAGTTTATAACCTAAAAAAAAGTTAATCTGAAAAAATCAAGTTCTTTGAACTTTCTGTTTCTTTTATATCTTCACGGATGCAAAACAAAAAGATGAATGGATAGGCACGGTTACTGGAGATATTTTAAAAAAAGCTAGACATGGACTAAAAGTTAGCGTTTACCACGGATTTTATAATGTAACAGTTGATGGCGAAGAAAATCTGTTTGAAGAACAGAGGTGCCAACTGTAAAATCCATAGTTCGGAAAAAGTTAGAAAGAGAAGGTATTCGAGTAAATCTGAAGCAATCTGCAGTAAATCTAGGTAAATCGGAAGCACCATTTTTTCAGAATACTTTAACAGTTAAAGATAACAGCCTTTTCTGTTAGAGTAACACGTGTTCTTTTTTCCAACAGAAAAAACACATTCAACAATAGTCACAAAAATCAAATATGTGAGCATTGATTGTTTCGTTTAGGATTTTCTTTTTAACCGTTCATTAATGAAAAACACTAAAAGCTCTCAAAAAAATAAGTAAATTTTCATTAAATGAAGTGATTCAAGGAAGAGTGAAGATAGTCTAGTAAAAAAAGCTATCGAGAAATCAACAGATTTTGCAAGTAACTCCTACAAATTTTTATAGGCGATCAGAAATTGTCAAAAGCTCAATAAGTTATGTTTTTAGGTGTTTGTGTGTTTAGCTTCACCGCTAACTGTTACATCACAAAATACACAGTGAACGATTCATATTCGCAATCTACGGGCAAAACTGCATAGGATGATATACTTAGATCTATTTCGAAAATATTTGATTTTTCGAAAAAGGTGATGGTTTTAATGAAAAACACGACTATAGAATATTCTATTGTAGATAAATTTCCATACTAATGCGGCTGTAACACCCTTAATTACCATTATATTAAGAGAATTCTTTTATTTTTATTTTTGTTTTTATTTTCACCAAAATATTGTATTTTGGTGAAAATAAAAACAAAAATAAAAATAAAAGAATTCTCTTAATTAGTGATATCACTTTACTGTTCTTTACCAAGTGATAAGTAATGAAACGTATTAGTTATTACCAGGAAATAAGTAATAAATATCGTTGTTTTATTACTTATTACTTTCCACAGTAATAATCTTTTATTACTCTACTTATTACTAATAAGCAGAAAAGTAATAAACAGTAATAAGTAAAATAATGAAAAATCATTACATAAAAAAGTAATAAGTAATAAAACAACAATATTTATTACCTTTTTACCGGTAATAAGTAACAAATGCTTTTTACTTTTACCATGTAATGTAATAATTAATAAAAATAAAGTAGCACCCCTACTTTTAATATAATGGCAATTAAGGATGTTACAGCCGCATAGTATGAAAATTTATCTATCTTATCTTGCTCTTTACACAATCTAATGTTATTGGATATTCTATTGTAAAATTCATATTTAGTACGTACACATACACTTCAAAAACTAACTGTTTCGTACCTTTCAGAGACTCAGATATTACTATACATAAGATTTAGTCACTGACGATCTTTCGCCTTCATATAGACAGACCTCCTTCTTTACAATTAATTACTCATAGTAAATATTTAAAAAACAAAATTAATTCTTTGCACTACCTTATACATGAGTGGTCAAACATAGCCATTCTTCTCTTTCTTGAAGACTTAACAAAAGTTCCAATACAACGGCGACTTGTCACAGATGTCACTAGTTTCTACCCGTGAATGTAAGGACTTATGTTTCGTTTGGATATTGTAGGTGGATATTGCACTGCATAACTATAATTATATAAAATACGGAAACAGAATAAAAAATAAAAGCCAAAAATCACTGTCGTAAAATCATGAGACTTAGACGTATGGTATGAAAAAATTATATGATTATCGAGATGATCGATCATTCGAGACAATAATATAAACTTATTATCTCGATGACATAATTTATTATCAATAACTCCGTAAAACATATATATAGTAGCAAAATGTGTATATCGAAATTGGCAAATAAAATACAGAAGGAAAGGATAAATGGCTAAAAAAAATAGAGTTAATTATTATTATTGACTAAAACTATTTGAATAACCGTGACTATACTGAGAATGATTAAAAGCCATTGTGTTGTTATACATTCATATTTCTAGACGATATTTCGATGACTCCACTTGTTTCTGATATTCATCAACATCTTCATATAAAACTAAGCGTAATAAAGAAATCATTCAAGCAAAAAAATCCTTTTGAGAACATCTAGCCATAGACTTATACTATCGCACAATATAGACTTGTGGTAGCTAGCTATACGTACCACTTTTATTGGTTTGGTTAGGTCTATCTAGTAATGTATCGTGTTAACAGCTATATCGCCCGATAGTCGATATTTTTTCTTTGGGTAATGAACGTAAAAACAATTAAATAAAGACACTTACTTCAAAACTGACCATTACAAATTCAACCAATTTTGCTTGATAGGATACATTGAATAACGTCGAAATTGTATCACACTCTCCTATAGCAACACTCGTAAAATCTTTATATAGAAAACAGTAATCAATCGATTTATCTTTTCTTAACAATCAGCATGGACCGGACAATTCATGTAAACACTTTTTAATACCGTTGGCCAATATATTTAGTGAATAATTATTTATTAATTTATTTTCATTCAGTAATTTGCCATTTCGAAAGTGTTACCCACCCTATATTTGGTATTAGGTATTCAACCAATTTGGAAATTAATACCTTTAAGAAAAATAATCATCCAATGGAAGTGTGCGAAGAATTCCGTTTATTAATCTCACACAAGGCTGCTAACTGTTAATGTGTTGTCTACTCATTTTTCCAATAGTCGAGCAACATTGTTGAATAATGTTTTGAAAATGAGTCGTTATACAATTGTTCTCCATAGATTTTGGTTATTGTTGTCGTTCAAAATTATTATATTTTCGAAATGGCTAAGCTGATTGTATCGATTGTTTATCTTCTACTGTTAACGATTGTGACAACGATATATAACATAAAATTGATTACCACAAACTACTGAACTCATTCTAAAAGGATCAATTAATCTTATTCCAGAACAAAACATCCTTATCGTAAATAATGTCCATAAATACATAGCTGACACTAAAAGATTCACTTAACTTTTACTTCTTGTGCTACTCTACATATTGTTTGTATCTGATATGTAGAGAGGAAAAGTTTTTTGTATATTACAATCCTCAATAAATTAATAAAGAGAGGCAATACTGGAAGATACTTTAAATATCCGAAATAAGATTGTCAGTTTAGTCGATCAATTTGGGCATATCATTCTCGTGCGATTGTGCGAATTGAGTATATAGCGTACGTACATCTATCTATCTATCTATCTATATATAAAGAAGAAAGTTTGTTTGTTCTTTATGCATTTGGTCCCTGTAAGAACCAGTGCAACCAAACTTTGCATGGCACACCCTTTCGTCCAGAAGAAGGTCAAGACGGGATCAGCGCGATCGAGGGAGGGGTGGAAGAGGCTCCCTCTCGGTTTTTCAAAAACCGCAGCAAATTTTCTCCGATTTTTGGAGTACCGCCCCCCGGGATGAAGGGCTGCCTTTCGATTCAAAATTTTTACCTGCGAGGTCATACCACGAATACCCATCATTCCTACTGACATGCCCTTTGAATTCAAGCGTCTGCAGTTTCCAGTGCGTCTTGCCTTTGTGATGCCCATCAATAAAGTTCAAGGACAATCACTCAAGGTTGCTGGTATTAACCTAGAGACTTCTTGCTTTACTCACGATCAACTTGTTCAAGAGTTGGAACTGGGAAGAATTTGTACGTTTTTTCCCCTAATGCGAAAACCAAAAACATTGTGTATCAAACAGCTTTGCAATAAAAATTGTATTTCACAACACACAGTCTCTCTTAAATGAAAGAAGTCCATAAAACCAAAAAAACATATTGAAAAGAATAAAAATATTTAAAAAACTTTAAAATACGAAAAACAGAAAAAAAGTTGAAAAGGGAAAGTAATCCGAGTATGTTTTGGAACATTCAAGATCGGTAACTTATACGAAACCATAAGCCCGTCGTTTCCCACTATGTTAAGTATGCAAAATTGAATTTTCCCGGGCAACGCCGGGCACTTCAGGTAGTTACACTATAACTTCCTGTTTTTCTAATTTCTCATGATTTTTTTATTCCAAAATTTTTTCTATCGACGGAGGATAAAACCAGTTTGTACTTTCAGCATCGGCGACGGCGGCGCCAAAAATCATAATTATCTATCCGCGGCGGCGGAAGCGGCGCGGCGCACAGGTATAGCCCCACGGATGGTTCTTAATTATCTTGAAAGCTGTCACGCTCTTATATTTACTTTTTTGCAATCAACAAGGCTTCGAACACAAACAGTTTTTGAGGAGATTGACAGGGCTCGAAAAGGTCTACAAAAGTGCGTTGATGAAACGACCAAAAGGCTTGTAGATAAGGCGAAAGTTTTTGTGAAAATTTGTGAACCAGGCAGAAAGCCGTCGGCCCATCTGGGCCTACTGATTATTTTAACTCTATGAGGAACAGTCCAAAATTGTAAAAAGCCTAGTTCCCCTGATCGTTTTGAATGCTGTTGAGTATTAGCATGATTTTGAATGGACATCGTATCCAGGTTATTATTGATTGTTGTAAAACATTCAGACATTCTTTAGAAATAAGAAGTTACAAAGATACATAAATCAATTGATATAGTCTTGGCCTTGGAAATATTACGAAGATTTTCAATACTATTAAAAAATTTTCTTTTTTTGAACTATATATGTCTCCGTTTTGTCGATATGTCTTCATAGTCAAGACTCTTAGAGAACTCTGACACGCCTCATCTTGTGGTGACGTACTTTTCGTTACAAAATGAGACAATCATGAGCTCTCTACATTCTTTTGTTCGAATTTCATTCTGAAAGAAAACAAACAATATTAAAGTAAATTTCGATAATTACTCTAGAAGTCCCACTGTGTTCATCAATATAAAATTTAAATTGGGATATAATACCATTGAACATATCCATATCATTTAGTACAGTACTCATCATTGTCGTCAATTTTAAACCATAAGCGTCTGGTTATACTAAGCCATATAAAGAACTTACATTCAAATCATCAGATAAGTGCTGTTTTTTCTCCTAGGAATATATCTGCCTAATATTATTAATTTTTTGGCTATTTCATACTGTCGTTTGGGTGATCTTTAACTGCTAGCATAAAACAAACTTTTCAGTCGATCACTATTGTAGAACATGGTACGTAGTTATAATTCGTCTAGCAATGGAAGAAAAAAAGAAAATTAAGCTTCACCTACGAGAAACATCAATAGATATATTTGCTTTTCAGTTATTTATCTGAAAAACACATAATCAACCCTTATTTAACTCTTTATGTTGGGTTTGCATCTATTCAAACATGACCCTTCTTTTCCATTGAAAACTTACATCATTTATGCTTTGGTTTTCTTCCATGATTAAGCAATATAGAGCAAAAAACGAAGTTCGAACAATCGAAATACATACGAAGAAAACAAACAAAAGTAAACATTAATGAAAAAAAGAAAAACACAAAAACAAAGAGTGCACATAGGCAGCACATAGATAGACATACACATATTTCGTATACATAAATATAGACAATTACAGAAATCGCATGTCCATTTAAGATATCTAGAAAAAGACATGCAGAAAGAGCCAGACATATATTGTAAGAGAATTAATGAAAACAATAACCAAAATTTGAATCAAACGGGACAAGCACTGTTAAACACTCTTTCTTTAATACATACACAAAACAGTAAAAGAACGTATTTTTTTTGCAACAACGAAAAAAAAAAAGAATTGACATCACAGCTCGACGTTAATGCGTAAATACTTTTTTCTACTGTTCGATGATATGAACCATCTTTAACATAATTCAATCATTTTTAACAATAACTACAAGTAAATGTTCATCATTTACGTATTCATCAACTTCAGATCGTGGTGTCGCAGGACCTGCACTACCACCGCCAAACGACATTAATGGGCATACTTCTCTTAGCAATTTTTTACTAAAATCGCATGGTGGGAATGCATGCAAGACAGCTGTTTGTTCTTTTAATTGCTGTTGGAAAGTCGATGTTGATGGATGATATTGAATGGAAATCTAAACATGATGCAAATTGTAGATGTCTGATGACAAAGCAAAAAATATAACTTACAACACCAGCTGCTTCTTTTGTTGCTAAATACGTTATTAACAACGATAATGATTTTCCTTCGCAGAAATCAGGTGATAATTGCTTGTTTTCATCACCTTCATCTAAAACATTCAAATTTGGTGTGACTTATGTGTTGAGAAAACGCCAAATGTAGTGAAGTTATGAATAACTTACGTGCTGGTGATGAGGATGAGGCTTTTGTTTCATCGCCGACATCATCATTTGGTGTTTTCTTTCTTGGTGATGATACAAGAATAGCAAAATTTGCTGTTGACGGTGATGTTTTTCGTGTTGATGTTGTTCCATTAACATTCTTATTATTTTTACTTGAACCAAATGAATTTGAACGAAGTTTGCTTTCTAAATCATCTAAATCACTCAGAACAATGGATGTAATACAACATGCCAACTTATCAAAACGACAAAAAACAAACCTAATTTGGTTGGATCTAAACGTAAACGCTGAGTCACTTTTAATTCCGTTTTCGCTGCTACTAAATCCCCTGGTTGGCCTGAAAAAGAGTAAATCTTATTCATGACTGGGAACAAATGAGCTAAGATATGACCGTACCTAAAACATTGACACAAATTTGTGGATTTCCTGCTAGGAAATGCATTCTTGCATCATAATGGTGTGATTTGAGTAAGAATTGTACTGGGTAAACTGTTGACAATGATTTTGTTGATTGTACTGATTCTTCGTTCAATTGTTCACATAATATGATGAAGTCGTTCATTTTCGTTAAATTACTTGTAGCATGAGGAGAAATGTAAACACTAAATGGCCCGTACGTTGTTCGACCAGGAGACGATGATCGTTCTCGCTTATTTCGTTGACGTTTTGTTGGGGATGGTGAAGAGGAACGATGACGCTTATGCGGTGAAGTTGGTTCGTCTATAGTTTGTTGTTTTATACTTTCTTGTTCTTCATCCGCTAACGAAACAGGTGATCGCGGTGATGGGGAACGTTGACGCGGTGTGACAGACCGGACACGTTCAATTTGTCCTTGGATTCCTTTTGATAACGAAGTATGCGACGCAGCGGAACTCGATGATGACGCTTTTCTTTTTGAAACTTTATCTGTTGCAGAATGATTTCGATGTTGATGCGATGACTTTTTGTTACTAACTACTGAATGATGTGAAGAATTTGATTCATGATAATCGATACGTAACTGATAACGGGAAGGTGAACGTGTTGATGATGTCGATGAACCCGATCTTGAAACACGTTTTTTGGTCGTGGGTGCTAATTTCCTTGTACCACGCAGTTTTTCCCGAGCTTTGATAGCATCTTCCACATCCTTGTAGACAATGTAAGCTTGTTTATCACCAGTACTAAATTCAATTGATTTAATTTGACCATATCGTGCAAATTCATGTTCTAAATCACGTCGCTTCAACTGAGGATGTAAATTACCAACCCATAAACATGTTGTTGGAACAACTTTACCTAGAAAAGTAAAGAAAACTTTTTCAATTGGGAAATCTTGCACATGTTTATTAGCAAAGTAGCATAGTGTACTGTAGTTCACTCTACAAAAGATTAGTCTTCATATCAACTTTTCACGTTCTTGATATAGTTATCATATGGAACGAGTTTCTGATAATATAATGACAATTATTTATATCTAATAAAAATAAAAGCCATAAACTTGTGAAACTGTACGATTTGACCTATCTATGAAGAGTTTTGATAAGTTCCCATAAGATAATCATCATTTGACAAAATTCTTATTCGTTCTAGAATATTATTTATATAATGCTAATCTGTTGCTGATTATATCTTTCTAATAATATATATGACGATAGCAAGCTTGACCGATGAACGATCACATTACCAGTCTCTTACTTCTGTCACTTTGAGAAAATTCTTACTTCTTTCATAAAAACAGGTAGCAACAAAAAAACTTAGAGATGCATTTAAAATAGATTGAAGAATATTTTGCAACTGTCAGTGATAACACGTCTTTGCACACTATTGGGAGAGGAAGAAAGGAAGAATATCTTTCCTTGTAGCTACTGCTACTGATGTAGGGTGCTGACAAAACTTGTGACTTTCGAGTAGTCCAATATCTTCCCTAACACCGATATCTTCGAAGGTGATTACTACTCATTATCCTCAGATCTAGACAGTGGGCTAGTATAGCCCTTTTGCCCAATTCATTGAGTTCAAACATATCGCATTAGCCTTCTAGCAAGCTAGAGAAACCTTGTTATAAGTCACAACGTAGACGCATATGAGACACATAGACATGAGTAACTTGTCCAAAATTACATTATTTGTCGGCGCCCAGATTCGAGCCTAACACCTTTATTGTACGTGACGATAATATAACTGTAAAGCTAAACTGCTACTGCAGAGATCTGCTGAAACGAGATTGTTTGGTCGGACAGATTATGTCCTGCTAAGTGACTTGCTACAGCCAGTACTCCAAGAGTCAATCAAAAATTTCTGACTAATTGTACTCATCATTGATTCTGTCATTGAACTGCTCAAATAAAATTTCATTTTTTTGTATCATAGCGGGTCAGTCCTACACGTTTAATCAAATTTTTGAATAATCAAATCGAGAATAAAGTACTCAGACGGCGGGAGAAGTAAACATACACAGAATGTTGTAACAAATATCATTTGTAATAGCTAATGATTGTGCGTTATAATCTGACAGTGAATATCTTTAACTATCAATTCATGACCATGTCACAAACACTAATGAATATTATTTATTTACCAAAATATAGCTCTATATTCCTAATTTATGAACAACCAACTATGCATCATAAAATAACAATGTCAACATTCACATATCACTTGACACTAGGCATGCATGTATTCAATGACCATCAAAGTTTTCTGTTTCATTTTGAAACACATCCGACGAAGGGTGCTATATACATATATCAAGATACAGTTAATCATCGAGAGTAAATACGCATTATCACTAACATCGCACTATTGATTCAATTTTTTAAATCATTATCTCATACATGCATCTGTTACAATGATTCTATGCATCAAAAATTTTCTAGAATACAAATAATTGAACAAAATAAACAAATAAAAATAGTCGATAGAGAAAAGCAAATGAGAACTCAATGTATTTAAAAATCTGTAAAAAGCGCTATTTGAGATAACAGAATTTCAGATCTGAGATCATTAGAGAATACGGCAATTTACATGTCATATCGCGTATGGACAAAGGCAAAAAAGTCGCACAGTGATGCTCGCCACTGCAGATCTCAAGTTTATGGTGTATTCTAAATAAGGAAGTTAGTTTACAGAAACTATAAGTTTGATACTATTTGTTCCTTGCGTTTTTGGAATCTTTGAACTCGAATCGGTATTATGAAAATGGATTCACACGAGATAGTAAAAAAAGAAGTATTTCAGAGATGATTTTATATTACAAAATTAATAGAACCTCTCTAGGAAATCTTTCGTCATTTTCCGTTTTTCTCGGATCATTTTTAGATTCACTTGGGAACACTTTAGCAGATTTTGCGTCTCTGTTTTGAATTGAAACTGAAGTCTACACTTCTACTGTGTTGCACTACTCCTTCTTTGTTCAGATCTAAATATGAAGAGGCAAAGATCTTGGCAGTCAATAAAGATAGCCTCAAGGAAAACTCATTGATTAGCTGAATTGAGCATTGAGCTGCTTTTCGTGTTATTAGAATAAAAAAGAAAATGATTGGATAGAGAATGTTACGTACCAAAGCCAATCCTTGCTTCTGATTTGCCAATTAATCTTCCATCCTGCTGTGATTTTGCTTTACAAGCCATATCAAGATTTTGATATTGAATAAATGCATATGGACGTTTCGATGATGATCCAGGTATTTTGAGATCAATTTCTTCAATGACACCATAATTATCAAAGATGTCCCGTAGTTGCTCTTCTGTAATATCACGCTCTAAATTTCCTACAAATATTGTTCTTGTTGCCTCTTGGTCTTCACTATTTATCTGCATATCATCATTATCATTATTATTATTGTTGTTGTTGTTGCTATGTGTCGATCGAGGAGATGAATTACTGCTACCTCGACGGTGACGACGTGAATCCTTTCTTGCAAAACCATCTAAACCGGATGGCAAAGGTACATTAGGTGAATATCGACGCGGTGGAGCAGCACGCGCGTACGGATGACTGCGATGATTGTGTGGTGATGAACGTGGTTTTGAAAAAAATGGACTGTCACGCATGGCAAATGCGGCTTGTGATCTTTCTGGTGCTGGACGAGACGGCTAAAAATTTGAATATTACGTTAATTATTAATAGTTCATGGTGAATAATATGGCAGACTTTAAATTCAAAAGTACATGCATAAGAAATACTTACTGAATACTTATTACGCACATCGTATAACGGATGGTCAGGCGCATAATGTCGACGATAGTAAACAGGTCTAAAGAAATTAAAAAACATGACTATAAAAAAAATCCTAAAGTTGAGAGCTTACTCGATTATTAATTGCCAGTTATCCCATATAAGACCACTTTTAGCGTGTCGAGCGTGTTTAGCATCATCACAATTTGTAAAGTTAACAAATGCAACACGTTCATGATTTTTATAATAAATTTTTATTGTATTTGGACCATAGTTAGAAAACTTTTTCTCACATAAACGTCTAACTTCATTATCACTAATTTTTGGACTTATATTTTTGACACAAATCGATGTATAACGACGATCAGAATCACGTTCTCCACTACTACGACGATGATTTTTATCATGTTGATCAGTTGATTGTTTGACACGTTTTGATACACTGGCAGAGTACTCGTTTGGTGATGAGGATGAATGCCGATTGTGACGATGGCGACGGCGCGATGGAGAACTCATCTTTATCTCTGATAAACTATTGTTATTCCTTAAGATACAACGTAAGGACAATCTGAAATCAATTAAATCAAAATATAATGTTGTTTCGTATTATAGAGCTGAGCAAAATACTTTCAAGATAAAATATCTCCAGATTAACGAAATACGTCAAGCTTTTTGCTTGTATACTTGACAGTTAAGTACATGACAAATATTTTTCCAACTAATATAACATGTGGATAACAAGTGGACTGAAATTTAGTGAATCTATCGGTCTGTCTGTCTGGTTCGTCTGTCTAAAGATAACTGAAAATGGTAGCCTAAACAAAATGGCCGATTTCCTTAAGTGAGACAGTTATGCACTTCCAATAGGGTATCGAAGGTTTAATTTAGTTTCTCATTTGACTTCATGTACAGAATACATAATTTTAATAAAATATCATGCTTCCAATATTTTTCTCACAATCAGAGATGTAACGCTGCGCGGCATTGTCTTAAGCTCGAATGAATTGGCAAGGAACGCAAAACAATACAGAATCGTCGTTCACCGCTGTTTCATTCGTTTGTGATCAACAAAAAGCATACGACTCTTATTATTTACTATAATATACTTGATTTCACAAAACAATATCTAAGTTTTGTCAAATCTGCATATACGTTGTAACAAATACAGAATTTGTTGCATGGAGAGTTGGAACCGGCGAAATCGAATTAGAGTATAGTTACAAAGTAAAAGTAATTTCAGAGAAAACGACAACTTGATCCCTCATAGTTTCCAGTCAGTTTCGAATAGGACATCAAAGATTCTATAAATTCCCTCTTTCTTTGACACTTTCCGTCCTTTTAGATATTTGGTGTTTCCGTACTCAGAAAACCTAGTTCTCTGTCGATTTTTCTTTGTATACAAATTTTTTGAATGTGACTCGAGAATTTTCGTATACTTTATCAGATAAGACTTCTATTCGACATCGGAATGTACATATTTCTCTTCAAAAAAAGTTTCTAGATAAGTAAACCGACGCAAAACGTTACTATGACATCAGACGGAAAAGTAAGCATTTTTTTTTTAAGGCGTAATAAAACAATATTTTCTACAAATTCGTCTAATGTCTTGAAGGATCTACCATCTACCCCGCTGTCTACCAAAAAGAAACAAGTTCTTATCAATGAGAAAAATACAAATATATTATGTATGTGGGATCAAAAATTACGTCTGAGCAATGAACGAATGGAAGTATGTATGACCTCCGGCTATCTTACCAATAGGAATCATGTTTTTCTGTTTTGTTTTAAGCTTTATGCCATGAATGAACTTCAAAATATTGAAAGAATTCGTAATGCACAAGAACAAATAACAAAATCTGTTGATGAAATGATGAGTGAATTTAAAACTATAATGTACAATAAATTAAATCACGTTTTACAATCAAATCAACTACTGCCTAGTATGAAAATTACTTTTCCTCTGATTACCAGTGGGCGCAACTTTTCATTTCACTTTCAGCTCAACTGCCCAACACACTTGCGCCTTCAACATTAATGAAAGATTGTCCGAATTTAACCAGTGAGATTTTTTTCAATGAGATGGAGGTATGTATTTAGCCGTCTTCACACGTCATCCAATAGTATTCTTATGTTGTTTTTAGAAACGATATTTTACTAATGATGCATCATTCGAAAAATATGCTGAAACATTAGAATTTTATCGGTCAACGTGGACTATTTTAAAGCAAGAAAATGATTATTTAAGATCACAGGTTAGTTTTCAAAACATGAATGGGTTTATAGAGAAATTAAAAGAAGTGTAGAAGCATCATAAAATGCAAAAATCATCTACATAGTTGGTAGAATAAAACTCAAGAACTAAGTATTCAAACGGGTTCTACTCATCATTATATACAACGTGTAAAGTTTTACGTTTCTTCACTTAATTGCTTAATCCATATACCTGATACGCTTCATACGCGGTTACCCGTCACGCTACTAAACAAAATCTGTATACTCTATGGATGAGTTACGAATAGACAAGAGTAGAGACTAGAGTCGAATAAAAGGTCTGCATGAGACACCATCAAATGGATAGAATGAAAAATAGCGCATGTTAGTGAGATGATCAGATGAATTGTATTTCTAGCCGTGAGATTGGAAAATTTCTCTTGACGGAAAAAGTTTTTGGAAAAACTTCCCCGACATAATCCACGAATAAAATTTCTTTTTGCAATATATTTGCAAAAAGATGTTTCAATTTTTCAAAAAATTTCCCTAAATCAATACGTTTTTCCCCTGACGATCGTCGGAGCAAACAGGCAGATTCTGCAGCTCTGTAGATGACTATACATCTTCAGGTATAGAGGTATAATGTATGAAAATTATGTCTTTGAAACCTAATGAGTCGTCTATTTCTAGCTAACAGCAAACGAACATGTACTGACCTTAGCGGAGTATGAACGGCAATTATTATCGGTAAGTATTACATAAAAAAATTATGGTTTGTACAGTAAACGTCACGATTAGTACAAAGACAAAAGGATCTTCACTGCTCACCTTTTTGACAGCCCTATGAGGACTATTTTATTCTGGTGTGAACTTTCATGAACTAAAAAAGATAATTCGCATCACAACGAGAGTTAGTCAGGAGACTGTATACATTTCTCAACAGTAGTCTGTTCTTTTACCCTGATTTTCTTTCATGCTTTTCCTTTTATATTATAGATGCAAGAGAAAATGGAGAAGGCCCTGTTAGAACGTGATACATATGTAACATTATATACAATGGAAAAAACACGTTCTGAAACTTGTGAAAGAAAACTTCGACATACGAATAAGTTATTGGACGATCAAGTAAGAATCCTTTGTCTTATGTTTTAACCTATTTACGAAATTATTTGTTACTTTAAGCTTAAACAACTTTCGAATAAAGAAAACGTAGCAATACAAAATTTTGATAATGGTATAAAGTCGGATGAATATGATAAGTTAAAAAATCAAATACAAGAATTAGAACTACAGATAAAAAAAGAGAAAGAAATCAATTTCAAACAAGAACAAAGTTTAATTGAACAACATCAGAAATCATTAAATTTTTTTATTCATGAAAGACGAAATTTATTTAATACAATATCTGCTTCGAAAGGTAACATTCAAATGTTATGTCGCATTCGACCACCACTCGATATTGATGGATCGTCAGATATCATTGTTGTGAAAAATAAAGATATTCCCACTCAATTGAATCTTAAATATAAAGGACAATGGCTACCGTTTAGTTTTGAGACGATATTTTCATCAGATGATGATCAACAAAGAGTACGTATTTGAAATTTATTTCAGATCAAGTGAGAATGATAATTTTTTTCTTGAAGGTATTTCAAGAAATTCAATCAACTGTATTTAGTGTGCTAGATGGTACAAATGTTTGTATAATGGCATATGGAATGACTAGCTCAGGTAAGAAAGTGCGTCTTTTATAAGCACAATCTGTATATGTTTCGTTTTCGTCAGGTAAAACATTCACAATTCAAGGAAGTGAGAATGATCCTGGTATTAGTCGTCGTGCATTAAAAGTAAGTTATCCGAAGTAGTCAAAATACTAAAATATGAGAATTTATTCTGATATTATTGAAGTTTAGTAAGCGGATCTATGCAAGTGTGTTGAAAAAATCTCCTTAGTTTATTCAACTGTTTACTACTCGAAGGTTTTTTATGTGCACCTTTGTTTACTTATTTTAGTGTTTATTCGAGCAAGCAAGTTATCGTTCAAATATGTATACTATTAACATAAATGTATCATGTATTGAAATCTATAACAATACAATTTGTGATCTATTATCGACTGATCAACAACGTTTAGTTATACGAATGAAACAAGATGGTGAAAATCATATCCCAGGTGTAACAATAATACCCGTAACGTCACAAGATGATGTTCAATTGGTAAGAACACCATAAACACCTTATTTGATTCATATATTATTCTTTCTCTTTTTATTAAGCTATTTTCTACAGCTTCATTACGTCGACGGACAGCGTCAACGGTTTGCAATGAAGCTTCCTCACGTTCACACATGTTATTGATAATTAATATTCAAAGTGAAAATATTCGTAACGGTGAACAGACAAACGGTATAAATGTGAACAATTTCAAAACCAAAGATATATAGTTTACTTCTTTTTTCAGGACGTCTATTATTTCTTGATTTGGCTGGTTCGGAAAAAGTGGATCGTAGTGAATTAACTGGTGAACGTTTAAACGAAGCAAATTATATTAATAAATCATTGTCTGAACTTGGTAATGTCATACGAGCTATCGGTGAAAATCAAGCATATGTACCATTTAGAAATTGTGAACTAACATATTTTCTAAAAGATACGCTAAGTAAGTCAATAATTAAATTTTAAATATAAAATATTTTAAAAATATATTTTTTTATACATAGCAAATAATTCAAAAATTATTATGATCACTCAGATAGCACCAACGCAAAACTTTGTGGATGAAACGTTAAGTACATTACGTTTTGCTCATACGGCTCGTGCTGTTAGACGTCGTAATGGCGATGGACTAGGAACACCGGTAAGAGAACAAATTACAATGTACATTAATTCTTTTCTTTTGTATTTTTGTATTTGCAGCCATCGAGTCCACTAATATCGCGTCGTGGAAAATGAAGATTTTAGTTTTATACAAAAATTTTTCTTTTTTAATGAAATTTTTGTACACTTCTGTCATATTTCATCTTGATTGTATACTTTGAATATGGAAAATTGTACATGTCCTTAATTTTAGAAGTGTGTGATAAATAATCTTTAGTAATATGTAAAAATAAAGAAATGTATAGAACTTTTTTGTACTCTCTTACTGTGGTGTACAGTAAATTGTTTTTGTAACGGTACTAGTTTGTTTAAGGATTAGTGGAGTTCAGAGTACAACAAAGAATTATTTATTCTATCCTAACTGGAACACTTAATCATATCCAATTTTTTGCGGAAATTTTCTTTAAATATAGTATAGGTAAAAATATTCGCAAAAAATCAGTTGCAGGAGAATTTGTTGAAGTTAATTTCTTTTTTTTACCAGTTGTTTTTTTTTGTTGTTGTTTGATATCTGGCTAATTTTAATTGGATTTATTGTCTTAATGTTTACTCATGTTTCATGATGAAACTGAGCAAGAAAAATGTTTTGTTAATCAGTGTCATGTAATAGTCTGATACTAACGAACGTATATCAATCAATTTATATATAAAAATTTTACACAATAATTAGCACAAAAAATATGAGATTCATATACAGGTGTACCATTGAAGTCTTCTGTAATATTAGTGAATATTGTTTTCAAATAGATCTATATACATATCGTTACTCATTATTATTATTACTATTACATGAACTATGTATATGAAAATAGAAAATAGAATAAAAATGATTTTGACATTCATTTGAGTAAGAGAAAAATGATAATAGTAAAGAATAGAAATAAATTTAATTTTGTTGACAATAATTCCAAATCTGAAATTAAGACACATCTGATCTTCTTCTGAATATATTATGCATAGATAATCTTACTTTTTACATCATCAAAATCAAATGTTATATTTTGGGGTTTATCACAATCTTTAAAAGTACGCGGGCAAGTACACGTATAGTTCGTTGTATCGTTTCCTTCAAAACATATGCCACCATTTATTTGACAATTATGACATAGTGATACTAAAAAAAGCATGAGATATATTAAAGAATTTTTTAAACGAATGCATACAGCATTTATACTTGTATCCGTGCAATGTTCACCAATGTATTCGTTAGAACATTTACATTTGTAGCCATTTCTGAGTGATATACATGTTGAGTTATTTTCGCATGGATTGTCGATTCTACAGTGAGGTACTAAAGCATAGCACTCACACTTCCATTGTGCTCTAAATAGAAAATTCTCATTGCCTACTTACTAGCTAATTCACATCTGTCTCCTTCATACCAAGCTAAACAAGTACAATTAAATCCATAGTCGTCTGTTTTTGATACGCATGTTCCATTATTCTGACATACGAATGGTACAATGTCGCAGTATGGAACTACAGTCAAATAAAAATAAAAATATAAATAAAATACATAAGTTTTCTTGACTAATATAGACTTACTTGGTATGGAGCAATTTTGACCAGTAAAATATATTGTACAATTGCAATGATAGCCCATACTACTGTTATCTGAGATACATTGACCATCGTTTAAACATGGTGCATTTAGAAAACTATCATTTCCTAATTGTTGAAGTTCACAAAACGAAATTTTTTGCTCACACATTTCACCTTGAAATCCATGTACACAATGACATGTATGATTAAATTCGTGTGGAATACAAGTTGCATTATTTTTGCATGGATAGACAGTTATATTAGATGCATTTTTTGGTTGACAGCCATCTATAATAAACAATTGTAATGATATTATTAAAAACATTCTTTGTCGTGATTACTTACGGTAAATACGACAATTAGTTTCAGAATGAAGAAATGGAAATTTACATTGGCATCTTGTTCGATTTGCGATGGCGAAAAAATCGCATCCAATGGAATGTGATAATCCTCCACAAAACTCCGGAAATAATATGCAAGAATTATACACGCTACAAGGCTAGAATAATAAAACAAAAAAATCTTTCCAATTATAAATATAAATGTCTTTTTAATAAAATAATAATAGCGCACCATCATTGGATCGTCTGTATCAAAACCCTATACGAAAGGTCACATATATCACGCAAATTTTCAATTCACCGATGAAAAGATATTCTTACTAATGGATACTCGGGTCCGTATCCCGTTTTGCAAACACACTTATTACCAGATGGTTTATATTGAGTAGTATAACGACATCCATCTACAATTAACGGAAATATGTATCGACATGTGTTACTCATAAAATTTCAACTTATATTTTATATACCGTCTGCAAGAGTTTGATATAAAATATTCGACATCACTAATATAGCCACAATACAAAACCAAAACATACTTTAATAGAAAAATAAACTATTTCTATAAATCATTATATTCATCGTAAACAGCTCTAAGGATTTAAAATGAATTTTCAACGAACAAATTTTAACATGAAGAGAAATTTGTAGAAACTTTAACGTACGACACTCTTCTCCTCACTGTAGAGCTAAAGTACTTACGATAAAAACTTCGACTTCGATAATGATCAAATTCTATAAGAACAATCATTGAACATTCATGTTTAGTGATACTCACAGATTTTTACACAAGTCATATGGATTTTCTTCATTCATATTCTTTTTGTATATTTATTACATCCAAAGCGAAGTTTAGAAATGATTTTCGATATATGTCCACATGTTTTTATTGTCTAATGCAAACCTGTGTGAGCTTTAGTGGTCTTTGATCATCAAACAAATTCAATTATTTCATAACTTTGATTAGAGCAATTTCTTCGTGTATACTGTGATACAATAGCTGTAAAACAGAAGACATGTAATAATAATGATACCAAACGTAATAATTCATATAGAAGATTTTTAGACGTATGTAGGACATTGAGACATATTTGAACATGGTGGTGTCAAAAGTAATGAGAAATTATTTTTTCCTCTCTATAGACAAATTTATAACAAAATGTTTTTTGCACAAGATGTATGTAATGCATAATATGACCATTTGAAGAATTTGCATTATGAGCGGTATGGGAAAAGTGGTGTAGACAAAATAGAGAATAAGATATTTAAAAGTAACACAAATATTTTATACACTCTAAAAACTAAAATTTTAGTGGAAGTTGGTTCCACTTAGAATCACAGAATACATGGATAGTTTTTAAGCTATACATTTATTCTCTGATTTTATACTATACGTTTCTTTTTAGACTGTAGTCAACACAGTATAATTTCTAAAACATCATACACCATTATGAATCAAGTTACTGGATAAACAAAAAAGATTTAGTGTGATTTTTCCGTCTTCTTTAGAGAAAAATAATGTAATGATGTTTCTTTTTTAAAGGAACTTTTTTCTTGTAAACCCGAAATAGATGATACGATGTTCAAATAATTTTGGATCAGTCTTGATTTTCGACCATTTCAGATTCAACGGTGATGGTGGTCCGTTAGTCTACAATGCTTTTTCTAAGCAATCAGATGTCTTTCTGTCTCAAGATCTACACAATCCATATTTAAATCAATCCATTTATATTGTTATAAAACTCGTGTACTTCCCAAAATAAATCTATTACTGTTGTTTTATCTATGATAATGTATATACAATTTATCTTGAGCTTTCACAAACAGTACAGAAATTACCAAGACATGTAATAGCAAAGAAGCTCGATTAGTACTTAACCTGTTCAAAATCTTTTCTTAATCTGGTTTTCTACGCATTTCAATTATTCTTGACTTACTGCTATTTCTTTCAATGTGATGGTTATTTTTCAATAAAACTATTCCTGGCTGGATAATCTGCTACTATCCTTCATATACATATCTAGTATAAAAATTTTCAAAAACACTTTAGATGCTGTTTTAATTTTTTTCTAGTGTTGTTTTTCTACTATTCTGGTTAATTTTTCTTTATAAACTATCAATTTTTCAAATTGTAATGTGATTTCAACACTTATCAGAAGAAAAAACTCAAAAATGAAATATAATGAATATACAGGTAAACGTTTTCGAAAGATAGAAATGAAATATTATACGCCAACATAATGTCCCCCATTCAATTGACTTTTTTTCTAGATAAGTTGATGTTTGAATATGGTGAATTAAAACTAAAAAAATAATGTGAAAATATTGTTTTATCTTTCTTTACTTTTGTTGATTAGTATAACAACATCATCTATCTAGTGAACAAAAGAAAGATTTGAACGTTAGCTAATTTTTAATTTTAGTTTTATTTTGCCAAAAAAAAATTGACGACCCTCTAGATTCTAACGTTAGCTAATTTGTATTTGTATCTTCTAAATGTATTTTATCTTCTAATCGAAACCATAAAATACATGTAAAATTGATACATTAAAAGAATAAATGGACATTATTAATCGACAGTGAATCACTTTTAAGAAAATAATGTTCAGAAATAAATCATCCATACTTGATCCGTTAAAAGAATTCATTTTTTTTTATTAGCTTACAAAGTAAAACCAGTTGGCACCCCACAAATTTAGATATGATATTGCATGGTGGCAGTGTCAGGGTCAAGGCTAATGCAATTATAAATTCATGCAAAAATATCACACTTATACAAACCAAAAACTAAATATGAACTACATCGATAGTAAAGCTCAAACTTTATAAGTGAACCGATTTTAAATAATCAAAATTAAAAATATTAAAATTTTAAAGAGTAGATGAAAATTTTGATACTATGAAAAGTGTGAGAAAAATCCCGATCATATCCCAATGTTTGCGGTAACAATACAATTTTTCGTTCAAATGTAAATGTCATAAGCGTAATCGACATAAAAAGTTGATCGAATAAAGTGTCGTTTGACATCTGTTGAGCAGGCTTTTTTCGCACATAATAAATCGATTCTGGACTACAATTTGAAATATATCAAAAAAATGAAATTGTAATATAATTTTGGTTTCAGACTTCAACTCATGATTTACTCAAGTCAGATATGCCTTAGAGTTTGAAAAACAAACCACAATTAGAAGTTGAACGACAAAAAAAATTTTCTGATATGGAAAACATCATTGAGATATGACCGGAATTTTTCTCACATTTTCCAATCTATCATATTTATTGAAAATGTTCCATTTTATGCAGAAATCGATCATTCTATAAAATTTACAATAAATTAACATTTCCTAAACTCCAGAATCTCCTTGCATCCATGATAGATCACTAGTGGATAGATTGATTTTCTCATGTCTATTCACTTAAATTTCTTCCTTTATTATGAAAAGATAGATTTTTATCTGTAATGTATTATGGACTGTGCACTATGAATTTGATCGGCTTGCACACAACAAGAGTATCTACTGTTTACTTTCTTTTTGATAATAACAATAAAATAGCTTAAAGAAAATTTCTTTCCAAAAAATCTAATTTTATCGAATCGCCTAACAGCTCGTTGGCCTCTCATTGACAATTGCGTCGAACAGGAGCTATTCTATTGTAAGGAAAAAGGTTCTCTACACTTTTCAAAGAATATTTTATCACTTAATATGAAATATATTGTTGATATAAGAGAATAATTAAGCATTTCTTTCGTTCTTAAAATTGAAAATAAATAGATTTGATGAGTACCATTAGGGATAACTGTATATGTTCTCTAATTTGCAGTTGGTGTAAAAGAGAGAAACGTCTGACGCCCATTGGTATGTAAATATATTCTTCTTCTGTTCTCATTTGCATGTTTGAACTTTTTTTTTTTTCAAGAAACGAGAGAGAAATAAAGTAGAATTTTTTCATTTTATCTACATTAGACTTTTTCATTCACGGAACATTGATAATGTTCATTCATTCTCAATTGTTTATATAAAATGATAAAATAAACAAATTGTCAATATCATCATCAACCACGTATAAATGATTAGTCGATAATACCACAAAACATTGTACAATGATCATGATAAATGAACCTGTCGAAAATTTTGAAACGTTAATGGTCTCATAGGTTATCTCAAAATACACAGAACTTTATCATCTTCGTCGCTTCATTTAAAAATAAGAACAAACTTAGAAAAACAAATTTTATATGAATTATTTTTTCTCGAAAAATAATTATTACCCGTCATTGTTGTCTACAGAAGAGAGAAAAGAAATATGCTATAGTTTCGGATACTATAAATAGACGATAATATCACTCCGTTTGACAAGGAAACATTCCAGTTGAGCACTGTTAAATGTTCCATTTGAACAACAGCAAACATACGGTAAGAACATACGAGGATATATAGATTTTTCTCATACAGGTTCATCTTTTGGCTGCATACGAATTTAACTATGCTGCCAGACTACGAAACCTGCAAGAGAATAATCCCTATTCAATTAAAATTTGATTAAACTGAAGAGATTCAAATTGTGCGTAACGAAAGTGCTTATGAGGAAGAATAACAAACGTTAAGGTATTTGAATTTGATGACCACTTTTACAAAAGTTGCATACATAAAGTCAAAAGTTGAATGTAAAGATGCCAATCAAATAGGCTCATGATTTAGGAATTTGAAAGAAAAATATTTCAGTTGCCAAATCATGCGTCATCTTGTGGTATCAATTTCTACATGATCAGCTGACATATAATAATAGAAAAACAATTAAATAAAGATTTATTCTTCCCAAATTAACTAAAAAAACAGTTTTTCGAGAAGGAATCGATTGCATTTACTACAAGATAAAACTTTTATCTGAAGTTTAGGTATTTTATAAACTCTTCTTTCACTAAATTATTGATAATAAGAGCAAAAATTAAAAAAAGTCTTTGAAGAAAAAATAGATTGAATTGATGCTGCAGCAGCTGACTTCTAAAAGCTTTAGATGGATAAAATGTGACTGCTGAAATGAGTGAAAAAGAAAATGATTTTGATATTCGTTAGATGAAAGCACACTGACGAATAATTGATTTAATTGTATGTACTATTTACAGAAACATTATCGTCCATATTCCCAATTAGAGAGTCAGTATCATTAACATTTGTACGTCGATAATTTTGTCGATAATATCCTGGTCTCGAACGATTCTGACCGAGGCTAGTGTATCTGTTTGATGACGGTACCGGATAAGGCGGACGTCCGGTATCTAATCTATCCACTTCCCCCATGTCATCCTCATCGTATTGGTCGATAGGATTATTAGGACGACGTCGATAGCCTACGCTTTGTTGTTCATAGTGCGAGGTCTGTCCAGGTCGCCCGCTGTAACTATCATCATATTCATCAGCAATCTCGTAGTCGTCATCATAATCGTCCTCCAAGTCGTTTCCTCCGTAAATGTAGTATTTGTAAAAGTCTCCGATCGGTATCGGACCGTCTAATGTTAAAACAGCAGCATCCTCGTGCACAACATGATATGTTTTTGGTGGTCGATACCAATCAAAAGGAGCGTGCCGATAAGAAGGACTAGAACGATTAACATGTCGAAATCTTCCATACATAGATGATTGATAGGTAAGATAAGGATTCGTAGTCAAGAATGGATTGTTCATATTCATTGGAAACATAGGCATATTTGGATTTCCCATAGCATTTGGCATATACATCCCTTGCATAGGCATACAGCCAGCCATTAAAGCCATGATGTAAGAGAACTGTGACAAGTACACTCAAAAAATTGTCATATCAAAATATTATTAATTGTTTTAATCATCAATCTCATACAAAAGCTAAAAGTTAGATATGCTGTATAAAAATGGCATGAACTCTGGGAAATTTGACCTATAGTCCCGTAGTATGAGAAATACACTGTAAATAAGACCTGTATTTAACAGATTTGTTCACAAAAAACCTAGAGAGGATAAGTAACATACGATGTTTATTGAAATATTACGCATAGGTTTCTCACTGAATTTTCTATTCCAAAATTAGCAAACCTTTTTTTTCAAAAAAATTTGTTCAATAGAGCCCGTCTACCAAAAAGAGAAGAAATAATAAATAACACGTGAAGGTGAAAGAAAATGGCAAAAAAAGATTACTCAGCCGTATCATTATGTAACGTTATATGATTGTAACTATTTTTTCTGACCAAATAACGACAAAACGAAATGGTAAATATTTCAACAACTAATAATACGCTAAAAAAAATGATATTTTGATATTAATATGGAATGAACTGAAGCTAAGCAGCATGTGTATGGCATTATCATTCTAAAAGAAAAAACTGGATATGCACTTGTATTAAAAGAACGCTGTAGAAAACTGAAAATTTGAAACATCATGTCAAATAAGAAAAATCTTTAATTTTGCAAGTAAATGTCTTTCACTAATCAAAAAAATTTAATTGAATCAAATTACAGGGATCGTGCCGAATGTTTCATGAATCACCGAGATAAATCTTCTTCAGGTATAAATGAGCTGCAATAATGTATGCTTTTAAATAGAATTATAACGATGAAAATAGAGTTATTTTAATTTGAAGTATCTCTTTTAGGTTGTTTCACTATCTGCTACGAATGGTTTTATTTGAAACATATAAACAAAATGAGATAGGCTGGAATGAAAAATAAAATAAATGAATAAAAGAATACACAATAATTTGAAAAATAGAATGAGAATGATCTGAAAAGAAAACTATTGTTTTACTAGCAGAAAAAAATTAAAAATAGTCTGATTAAGATGAGATTTTCATTAAATGAATAATAGTTCTTGAAAATATAAATAACATCTACAATCATTTCTCATATTTTATCAATAAAAATGGCAGGTAATATTTGGATATCTGATTGTTAGTCATTATATCGTGAACAACAGCATATAACGCAAAATGCATGAATTATACCGGGTAGCTGAAAAGTGAATAGAAGATAAACATGGATCTAAAAATAAGAAAATAATTGTCTTACCCAGCCCATCAGAGTAAGAATGATATTAATAAACACGGAACAACTGCAAACTTTGTCACGCGCGAGCCACACCGCTTAAAAAGTCAACAACCATAAATATCATACATGTGAAAATTTGACGTGAGGATAATGAAATACTTACCAACAGGAGGCAAAATAACAGCCATAATAAATAACAGACATTTTCCAGCCGGATCCACAGCCATGGATAATGTTAAAATAGTACGTTCACAAACAATAACAAAGGACGTTAATATCCAAAACAAGACGAAGAAAATTGAAAAGTAATTAGTCAAATAAAAAAATTGATTTATTCAAAAGTCTTTCACAGCAGAGGCTTATTCTACCTTAAAATCTAAGTTTACACATTTAATATATACCTACGCCTCTAGTAAAAAAATGAATCATTGAAATGAATCAGTTGAAATGAATCATTTGTTTAGTAAAGACACTTGAGTGGAACTTATAAAACAGTATCTTACTCAAAGCACTACGATAATGGTATAAACATAGAGAACAGAAAAAAAGTAATTTAATATAGTAGAAAATATGTATGTATCATACTTGAAAAAACAGTATGTTGATGTTAATACAAAATCTAATACAAATAAGATTTTATGTTCTAAGTAAAGAACTAAATGTTAGAATATTCTTATAATAGGTAATTCTTACGAGGGAACCATCTGAGGTGATACCTCCCGTTTTCATTCATTCATAGTTGAGTATATTGAGATAGTAAAAACCCTAAAGGGGATTTTCCCCAATCTCATTCCTTCAAAAGTTATCGACGTTTTCCTATTTTTACCCTTATACAAGATGAAAAATTTTTTAAATGACAAATTAGCAAAATAAGTCAAAGAGATCTGAAAGTTTGACTATATATGGACAAACTATTTTAGTGTGGCGTATTAGAC